CCTTGACGTTCGTATTGAAGATTCTCACTTTGATATTGGTTGAAAGTTGTTTTGAGTTCCATATGTTCTTCAATCGTAGGAATGCGACCCTTGCTTTGCCGATCCTCGCCTTTACGTCTGCATCGGATCCTCCTTGTTCATCGATGATGCTTCCTAGGTATGTGAAGGACTCCACATCTTCCAGAGTTTCGCCATCAAGAGTGATTGGATTGCTGTTCTCCGCTTTGAATTTGAGGGCCTTGGTTTTCCCTTTGTGTATGCTAAGGCCTACTGATGCAGAGACTGCTGCTACACTGGCTGTCGTTATCTGCATTTGTTCATGTGTATGCGATAGGAGGGCTAGGTCATCTGCGAAGTCCGAATCGTCTAATTGGTTCTGAGCTGTCCATTGTATTCCGTGTTTTCCATCAGATGTTGAGGTCTTCATAATCCAGTCGACCACCAGAAGAAAGTGGAAGGGAGAGAGTAGACACCCTTGTCTGACTTCGGTTCTTACTTGGAATTCAGCTGTCCTCCACGCACAACTTTGCATTGTAGTCCTTCGTATGAGTTCCGGATAATATTGACAATCTTCTCAGGAACTCCGTAGTGTCGAAGAAGTTTTCATAACGTCCTCCTATCCACACTGTCAAATGCCTTTTCATAATCAATGAAGTTGATGTATAGTGACGAGTTCCACTCAACTGATTGTTCGACGATGATCCGTAGTGTTGCAATTTGCTCTGTGCACGACCGATCCTTACGGAATACAGTTTGTTGATCTCGAAGTTGGGAGTCTACTCCATCTTTCACCCGAATATATACTATAAGTGACTTTGTAAACATCAGAGATAGAGGAGGGTAGTATTTCTAACCCCAAAACCACTGATTAGAAGTCAATTGTTGATCCTCTCTCTCTCTCTCTTTCTCGAACTAAACGTAACTAGCCTAGGTACATATTATTTACTAATGATATTGACCTAGTGACTTATTTTCTGATAACATTGACTGTTATATATAATTAATAATACCCCATTAATGTAAACAAAGACTTTTAGTGGACCGAAATTTTGAAAGAATATTGAGTTGAGGAGCTTTCTAAAATGATTGGCATAAATTAATATGTATCAAGTACCTTACTGAAAAGCGAACCTCAACAGATAGTTGTATCAGCCTGTATTTTTTAGACGAAAATCGGCAAGACTATCATTTATGAACGAACCAATCAAGTATAAGATAACAGATTTCGGATTTTGTCGCGATATTCACTCATCCATTTGGATAAATTGAGTTTTGGCATTACAGCTGACGTCAATTCATGATGTAAACCATAAATCTAATTCCTAACCTTGACCATCAACTGAAAATCATCATTCTAATGCCTCACAATGTTTCATAACCCTCATTTGGTCCTAGATATTAGGTGGACACTCTCAAGGTCACTTCAGCGTCTCCCAAAAGTCGTCCATAAATTATAGTCTCACCGGAAAATCCATGTCCTGTATAAACACTAAATACTTTACCTCAAAACTTTTCATCGCCTTTACTAGATAGTTAAATGAGGATTCATTCTTTCCATAATAAATAATGCAGACAAATCCTTTCAGTTGTTGGGTATTTCACACAGAACTACTTAGGGCCGTTAATACCATAGAAGATAAGCTTTAGGTACCTACACAACTGGCTTATAATCCTCATTGTCTACTTATTAAATCAGTTGTAATTATCTCACTCTTCTGTCTGTTGTGAAGGTTTGATGATTTGTAATTGATCACTATATAGTCTGTTGATAACATCTACATGAATACAACATCTAATACATTCTTTGAGATTTTTAAAAAAGAAGAAAAGACGTACTATCTCCTTAATGATATATTTATAATACTGATAATATATACCCTTTTAGGCACCAAGGGAAAAATCACGTATCTGCTGTCATCAAGTACAAAACAAGAAATTTAATGTTATGAAAAAGCAAACAATCAAATCAAGATTGAAAACTACTCGAACAGTACTTAAACAAAGTGGACATCGACAAGTTTCGCCTCCATCTACTAGTGTAATATCACAAAATTCACAGTAAGTTATATTTTGCAATGTTGCTTTTATCATGTATTATGTTATATGACATTTTAATCGTTGAGATCATGAGTCACTTGTAGCTAGACCACCATGAAAAAACTTGGAGCACTTGACGGCCGTTTCGTTTTAGTATGGGACTCTTCAGCGGTACACATCCATGATACCGCCTCGCGAGATTTGAATCCAGAATCTATCGGTCTTGTATGTAAGCGCTTAACCTCTAGACCATTGAACTTACCAGCATCCAACAGTTTGCCAAGTTTTTCATAGTGGTCTAGTTTCAATTGATTCATGATCTCAACTATTAAAATCACTATAAAATCCACAAAAACCCCCTTCTAATATTATATGACATTGTTGTATAGCTTGATTTTTGATAAATTCTAGTTTTATCTCTGGATCTACGCATGAATTAGGATTTCATAGACCATACAATTCAGTCACATGAAGCGTGAACGATGTATAATTGATCCATTCGACAAACTGAAAATTGACAATTCTTGGCAAGCTGTTCATTTAAAGTTAATCGATCAACGGTTCATTGATCACTGAAAAGTTAAATATGATGAGCGATAAATGAACCAATCAGAATAACAAATGTACATTATACCCTAAGCTTTATAAGTTGCTAGTCTGATTCGAGTCAAAAACGATCGATATGGAAATGATCAATAGCCATTTAACAACTTTCTGTCTATTTAGAAACATAAATTCTTCTTCCCATTTTGTTTTTCGTTGGATAAACTCGAATACTTTAGTATTTCATTTGTTGATTACAAAACTGTATTCACCTAGATGGAACATGACTTATTATATCGATGTATGTAGTATCACTATGATCCCATAGTGAATTCTTAAGTTCACATATCTACTTATCTTATACTGACAGAGCCTATGAGGTATATGTGTACACTTTAAGTAGATACTAGAGATCAATGTAATAAATGAATGAGGAAGAGAAAATTAGAAAGTTATTTATTTAAACACATAAACATTAGTTCAAGGAGGCACCAAATAGATATACACCACATTAATCATTCGATTTGTGTGAGGACTAGGATACTGCCCGAGTGTCCAGACCGAATCAAGCGGTTTCCTTAGAGAGCCACACCCAGAGCCTTCGACCTGAAGGTCTAATCCATAAAGCAGTGGAGCAACGTGGAAAGATGCAGTCCCATGATAGCCCATGACCAACGGTTGGTTCATACGCCATTTGTTCCTTCAGGATACTGGAACCCACGTGCACCATTGATGTGGAATCAGTGTTTTCCAACTCCCTCAGATGGACTCTCTGTGTCCACCAACCCGGTTAAACCGCCTGACAGACATTCGCTTTTCTTCCCTTGAATTTCGTAAACAACACCCCCGCGACGAAAGGCAATGAGTAGAACTTCCCTGTCAGTGCTTGTATGCATTTGGCCATAAGAAAGCATTTGAAGAGGGAGAGCTAGTTCTCTCCACTCTCGGCCGTACCAGGGCATTTGGTGGCTAACAGTGTAAGAATATTCCAGTATATAACATTTGTTCATGACGTTATCATTGCCAGTAATTCAAGCTACAATAGCAGCTTTTTATATCATATAGGTCTACTCAATCAATCACTTTTGATTAATTAAATCAGAATTTACATTTGCCTTATTCAATGAAATGCTGTTTGATTATACTGACATATATTACATTGCTAAATAGATCGTATTGTAAACTGAATAAGTTAGGATTAGAAAAATAACTCAATATTGTTTATAACTGGAATTCGAATAAGATCCTGTGCCCGATCTACATCTGTTTTGTTGTTTAATAATTGAATTCATGGGTCAATTGAAGCTAGACTACCATGGAAAACTTGGGAGCACTGGACGGCCGTCTCGTCCTAACATAGGACTCCTCAGTAGTGCGCATCCATGATCCCTCCTCCCCGCGAGATCCGAACCCAGGACCCAACAGTCTCCCGCACGGACGCTTAACCTTTAGACCACTGAGCTGGCATTCATCGGTGTTAATGTCTAACTTTGGTTTATACGAAGATAAATTAAGTTTATTCTCACTTTACAAGTAAAGATAATATAAACCTATTTTTGTAAAGTTTCAAATGGAAAGCTGGTCTAAAGGATGGTGACTTTGATAAGTGTCCTTCAATAATATTCTCCCAAGTCTACTTACAGGGTTAGTAAATAAATTTATGAAATAACTGAGTGGATTGGAGAACGGAAGTAAACTAGATCAGTCAACTGGACAACTTGATTTGTCAAAAATGTTTTATAAAGAATGAAACATCCTAAACTTGGACGAATAGTCTTACAGTAGTCGAGTGCATCCTTGATGTTCAAGATTCTTGTGTAAATAGAGTTCTGGTGCAAATTCTTTACATGAGACTGCAGGTCCTGGGTTCGATCCCTGGGCGTGTGTTTATAAATGCGCACCGCTGAGTAATCCCACACTGTGACAAAACAGCCGTCCAATGTCTCTAGGTTTTGAAGTGTGATCTAACTTAGATAAGTTCGTGATTTGAATGAAACTCAACAATCTCCACAACCCTTTACTAACGATTCGATACGAAAATTAAAAAGTTGGGCATAAAAAGTGCCCAATATATGTGAACCATTCGAACTGATCAATAGAGGATTTGAGCTAGTAACCGGTTGTAAGTCAGGTTTTTGTCTAACTACAACCTACACTATTGTATTGGTAATCTAGTATTACTAAATGAGGAATATTTTGATCGGTTCCTTAGAAATATGTGCTTCATTATTCTTCAGTAAAAAAGGAAACTTAGTTACGAGAGGGAGATTGAAGTTACGTTAATCAATTTATAATCTTCATGATAAGCAAATTGTTAAATCTCGGTTGAACACTTTACAGGATTAATTATAGTATAGATTGTCTCACTCACATATTCAGTCCGTCATACAATAGACCAGTCCACTAAGATCTATTCAGTTGCAGTTTAAGGATCAGTTTCGTATGTAAGTCTTCATTTCACCCACAGTAGTCATTCCAATAATTCTATTAAGTTGTTATTGCATATTGAACAGTCCTTTTGGTTAACTGTATTCCAGATATTTTAGCGGTTTTCACTACCTATGGGCAGGCTGATGTTATCCGTCACGCTTTTAATGCTTACTAAGTGTGTGGTATCCGTCACTTACGACCATCATTAAGTCCATTTAGTAGGTAGCTACTCCACATTACAGTTTGGTTTTTGTTAAACACATCATTTCAAGCCCTAAATCTCGTAATTTTTGTGTTTCTCTTTTGGAATGTTTTGTTGTGCTACATTGTACATGTTCTCAGACGACAGCTACAAACAACTCCAGACTCTTGAAATCAAATTTTTGAAGAAACTGCTCGTCAATATCCAATACCCTTCCACCAAATGAACTGGCAGACAGCCTAAAGTCCTGGATATAACACAGTTATCAGAGATAGAGAACATTGCCAATAGCCACATCATTGATATTAATCCGCAGTTGCGTTATTTATTTACTTGAACACATAGATATTGGTATCAAGGGGCACCAAATACATATGTGCCACATAAATCATTCGATTTGTGTGTAGGTTGTGATACTGCCTGAGTACCCAGAGTGAAGCAAGTGGTTTCCCTAAGGAGGGGCACACTCGGAGCCTTCGACCTAAAGGTCTAATCCATAAGGCAGTGAAGCAACGTCAGGAGATTCAGTCCCATAGTAGCCGGTGACCAACAATAGGTTCATACGTGATTTATTTCCTCAGGATCCTGGAGCCCTTGTGTACCATTGGTTTGGAATCAGGGTTTATTAACTTCCCTAATTGGATCCTCTATATCCGTATAGTTGCGTTAAATGAATTACAAGATACTAAGAATTATCAATGTTCTTTAGAATTTTCAAAGTTCTTATTCATTGATATCTGTTTAAGCTATAAATAGTTCATCGATCCTTTTCTTGTGTAGATCAACGGGTCTAGTTTATGATGAACGTATGCTTAAGCATAAACATGAGTGGTTTATTGAAGAACAAGAAAGTCCACGTCGTATTCAGCAAGCATTTCATCGTTGTGTAGAAGAAAATTTAGTTTCACGATGTATACGAGTACCGGTAAGTTAAGTGTTTTACAAGTTAATATGGACAGTTTTATATAAATTATCATTTCATCGTAAGCAAAGATGGATAGTGACTAACAGTGGAATCCAGGACTCGCGTTTCGTCCTATTTAGGACTCGTCAGCTGGATGTACCTGCATCTCAGACTCGTTAGTTTTCACTCTTGAACTCGAACCTATTACCCTTCACTACAAAAACCATCGTGTTATTCACTTAGCTACTGAGTCCTGATAGCCACTTGATTGTGCAATGAGGGGTAGTTTAAATTCACTTGGTATTGATCGCTTTCAGTTCTAAACATCAATGAGAAGATTTAAGTAAACAATACCACGTGAATTTATCATCTCATCAATTTATACAACCGGAAATTGGTGTTGTATTCTCAAAAATATGACTCAAATCTGAAGTAAACAAAAGTCAGATATAAGGGAGTAACATACAAGAATGATGATTTACGGGATAAGTGAGTGTGAATTTCTCAAAAGTATCTAAATAACTCTATGAGTTAAGTAATCTCAACAGCCAAAATAGATAGACCATAAGACATGAAGAAAGTGAGGTCATATGTGATGTGTTTGAAGGTGTTCGATAGGAAACGGTCAGTAATCATCCGGAAGTCCTATTTGCCGTCTCAGAGGAACCGGTATTGCCTATTGAATTCGAACCCGTATGAGTCATCTTCGTAGTCTAAAAGGTCACTACTTAGCTGCTTGAGTTGCGAGTTACCTTCAACAGGATTATTTTCCAGTCCATTGATAGTCGACATGATGTTAGCACTACGAAGTCATTCTAAACTATTAACAAGCAAGCAAGCTTAGCTCTATTACAGTCCACTCAAGTTAATTCCAGTAATATGTTTAAATTAAATAATGCATCGCCTTTTTTATTTCAATTTCCAATCTTCATATAGTTTTATACTATCATTTTAAATAGCCATTCAACTAGTGTTTCTTTCTTAAACTCTACTAATCACACACTGTCCTCCATAGACAACTCAGTATAATCTGTCTTAAAAGTTTCATACGGTGCTGACAATTTTCTCAGACACACCATAATGTCGAAGAAGTTTTTATAATGTTCTCTCATCAAAACTTTTCTTGATACCGACAGTAGTGTGATTGCTCCATAGTTCTCACATTTGCTGAGATCGCCTTTCTTTGGTATTTTGATGACATATCCTTGGTACCAGTCTGTCGGTGGCACTTGTTCCTCCTCTCAAATCTTTCTGAATAGAATGTGGATCATGTTTACAGCTGCTTCTATGTGTGACTTCAGTGCTTCAGCTGGTATATTGTCAGATCCTGCAGCTTTCTCACTGTTGATTTCTCTAATGGCCATCCTGATTTCTTCCGTCGTTGGTGAAGTGACATCTATTGGAAGGTCTGTGTGTGTTGCTTCGATGTCCTGTGGATTAATTGGAGCTGGCCTATTGAAGAGTTCCCCAAAGTGTTCTACTCATCTGTTCTTCTGCTCCTGAATCTCAGTGATTGGCTTGCATTCTTTGTCCTTGAATGGCCTCTCTGGTTTACTATATTTCCCTTCAAGTTTCTTCGTTTTATCATATAGTTGTTTCGTATTTCCTTCTGTTGCAGATTTTTCCTCTGTCATTGATAGGTCATTCATATATTTCTGCTTGTCAGCTCTAATGCTCATTTTCACTCGGTTGTTTGCTTCTGTGTATTCAGCTTGCGCCTTGACTTTCTCTGCTCTTGTTCGGCTGTTGTTAATTGCTGTCTTTTTGTTCTCTCTTACTTGAATCTTGCTTATGGTTTCGATAGAGATCCATTCCTTATGATGACGCTTCTTGTGGTTCAGAACCTCTTGACATGTTGAAGCTAGTGCTTCTTTGATCCCTTTCTAGTTGTCGTTCATAGAAGTTTCTCATTCTTTGAGTAGATCTTGTAGGGCTTGGAACTTGTTGTTGAGAGCTATCTTGAACTGTTTGAGTTTGTCAGTATCTCTAAGGAAGGCTGTATTGAACCTTTGTAATACTGTTTCCCCAGTTTTACAACGCTTCTTTAGCTTGATTTTCATCTTGGCCACAACCAAGTGGTGATCTAAAGCTATGTCACCAACTCTCTTGATTCTCACATCTTCCATTGACCTTCTGATTTCTTTAGTGATGCAAATATGATCAATCTGGTTCTCTGTAGTGTGATTTCGTGAGACCTATGTGGCTTTGTGTGTGAGTTTGTGGGGGAATATTGTGCCACCTATAACCATTTTGTTGAATGCATATAAATTTGCGAATGTGTCACTATTCTCGTTCCATATCGTCCCATGATAAATTCATACCGAGTATTGTCCATTCCGACTTTGGCGTTAAGTCTCCCATCATGATGGTCAGATCTTTTCCTGAGCACTTTGCTATGATCGACTGTAGCTTATCGTAATATTTCGGAATTCCTAAGTCCAATCCATAGTGGTGAGTATTCATGGCATTGAAGAATTATTAAACTAGACTGTATAAGAAACTCATTAAAATTTATGATAATGAATGGACTCATTTTATAGAGATTACCAAACTGACATCAGTTTAAATTCACTTGGTGTTGTTTTACTTGTATCTTCTCATGGCGTTTGAAGCGAAATGGTACTGGTTTCTATTCTCGACGTGAAAATCAACTCTGGGATGCGGGCACATCCAACTGACCAGTCTCAAATAGGACGAAACGCACTTTGTCCTGAATTCCACTGCTAGCCACTATCCATCTTTGCTTAAAAATGACATCAGTTTAGTTACATAATAATTACTTCATTTAAAGCTATCATAGTATCATTTGAAATACCATTTTAATGCAAGAATCATTATTCATCATTAAGAGATATTTATCTAAACTATATTCAATTCATAAATTTATGACAGATTTCATTAAAACTTCAATCGATACCGACTAATAAAGTATTCAAGAGTAAAGAATGTGATGTAATCTTTAAACTATGTCATATTACATCAATTTCAAATGATAGTTTATTAGTATCAGAAGGGGTTTTATGAGTATTATAGTAGTTTTCTAATAGTTTAAGATCATGAGTTAATTTAATCTAGATCATCGTGGAAAACCTGAAAGCATTGGATAGTCGTTTCGTTCTATTGTGAAACTCCTCAGCAGTACGAATCCATGATCCAACCTCGCGAGATTCGAACCCAGGACTTGTCGATTTTGCGCGAGAGATGTTTCTAATATTATTTATAACACTAAAGAAATTTCCATATTCTTACAGATTCAAAGGTCTATTACAAAGTCGGTTAATCAGATCAAACCTTACATAAAAATGATACGTAACATACTAATGTCTATTATTAGTACAAGAATTATGAGTTGGTCACAGGTTAATTTTAGTTAGAGAATCATTGAGATGGTGGAGAAGATTTGTAGCTCAGGTGGATGATTTTGATGAAGTTTTGTTCTCTGAGCTGGATGGTTTGGTCGTGGAGCTTTCGTCGTTTTTCTGAATGGCATCATCAGCACGAACCTGAATTAGTGTTACCTCAATTGAGTAATATATAAAAGAAAGATTGCATATAAGCATATGATACAGGAAGAAAGAATTAATTCGTAGAAAGAAAGATATGAATCGATTCTAATCTCTTAGTTTAAAGGAAAACAAAGAGTTTATATACCGATGCCATTGTGATCGATTCTAAGCCATGTCACACAGAGTCTACAACCATTAGTTACGATGGTCACGCGGACCTCAACCAAGTAGTCCACATCAACCAACATGGCTCAGACTAGAAGTTAGTAACCTTATAGACTGATGCCACGTTCTGGTTTGGCTTCCTTTAACTTTCATTTCAATAACCTAGTACAAAGTGATTATTAGACGTAGTGAACCATCATGTTCATTAGTAGTATTTGTAAATAATGTTGTCAGTAAATCAATAAATTGCTTTATTTACATACAAATTGGTGAACTTTCATTTGGTACATTTGACCGGATGTATTTTTGTATGTCTACATTTAAGAAATAAACAACTCTATTTTGGTTTATTTTTCTCACTGGAGTTTAATTTGGAATACAATTTCCATGTTAATTAGGTTGAAAATAAGTAACAGAACAATTTCACTTTATTGAAATCATGAACTAATCAGTGTAAGAATACCGTTGAAAACCTGGAAGCATGAGAAGGTCGTTTATTTCTAGTATGGGACTCCTCTTCAGTAAGTAACCACGATTCCCCAAGCGAAATTTGAGACCAGGACCTTCGATCTCTCGTGAGGCTTAACCTCTCAACAACTAAGCCAGTATTCAACGGTGTTAATGTCTAGCTTCAACCATTCCACGATGTTACGCTACCATCTTCCATTGTCTTAGGTGGGTAACTGCCTCACATCCAACACGGTTGAACTCTACTGGTCATAGTTTCTCACTGGAACTCTGAGAATTACCTCTCGGAACTAGTTAAAGTTGAACATTAACAGCGTTGGATGCTGACTCAGTGGTTCGGAGGTCAAGCGTTCGCGAATGACCAAAAGTCTTGCGACTGAGATCCGTGTGAGGGGTCATGGATGCGCACTGCTGAGGAGTCCCACGATAGGACGGAACGGCTATCCAGCGCATCCAAGTTTCCCATAGTGGTCCATTTAATCTCACAATAGTGCACGCAGTGTCGAGTCACCTAGACTGGTGACCATATTGTATCATGGTCGATAGCATTCGATCTGCACTAATAAAAACTTGACACACATAACATTGGTCACCACCCAATGATCAATCAATTGTGTTTCCATACTGGTCTAGCTTCAACTGACTCATGATCTCAACCATTGAAATTATTATAATATCAATAAAACCCCTTCTGATATTGATTTTATTAAGTGACCATATAAAAGTCAAAATCTACAATAATCATCATAAATCAATAAAGTAATGCAACTAATCTTTATAATCCAATCATCAACTTGAAATGAACATAGTTTCCTTATCAATTCTATATAAGATTTAACATAAATTTGTTGAGTCGGCTTCCGCAGAACTTCAACGGAGCCTCCAGAGGCCCAAAAGGAGCCGAAGGGACCTAGCCAATCAGAGTATGATCGGGCGTTCTGGAGTTCCTACGTGGCGTGCTACTATTGGTCGGTAGCATAATATGTCGTTAACGGATTGGCTGAAATATGATGTTGATTTAACAGACGCCAACATCTATAAATCCCCTTGATTTTCTGTACAAGAATAAACCTTGGGATAAAGTATTTTCTCTCATACTTATGTCTTCTCTCTGGTGTTCAAGTCTCTGTGTAGTTCTAGACTGCAGGTTACCGGAATACCTTAGGAAACTAAATATAGCGTTCAATCGACAGGACTTATCAAAATTATAATCAATCATATATCTACATTCATAATTACAAACACTAATCGATTAAACCATATCACTTCATATGAAAACATCAAAATGAATAAAAATGAAAGTTAGTTAGAATGAAAAAACAAAAACGGGGCGGGGGGGATTGAATGAAATGAATGCCAAAAATGTTTTAAGAATTGTTGCCAACTGTCCTTCTTCTTTTTTTTATCAGAAAGGGTTTTTTTGTGTATGGATATTATAGTAGTAGTTTCAATAGTTGAGTTCATGAGTTAATTGAAGCTAGATCATCATGAAAAACCTGATAATATTGGACGGCTGTTTCGTCCTAATGTAGGACTCTTCAGCAATATGCATTCATGATCCTACCCCGTGGGATTTGAACTCAGGATTTATCGGTCTCATGTGTGAACGTTTAACCTTTAAACCATTGATCCGGTATCTAATAGTGTTAATGTATAACTTCAACTAATCCACGAAATTGATCCACACGTCCACCATTGTCTTCAGATTATTTATCCTAAATAACAACTACTCATAGGGATTATGTTAAACTATAAGCAGAAATGAAAGATTATATATTATATTAGGAACTTCGTTTCTTTTTTTCAAAAAAATCCTGATTGATTCCAATAAGTGATACGCTTTTGATTGAATATAGGACAATCAAATGAGAGTTTTAATTCATTAATACACATTCGTATACTCAATTGGATCGATCATGTTAGTAACTTATCTGTTCAACTACCTTAGTTCATTTGGTCATTTTGGTATCGACTGTGAGGAACTGGTTAAGGTAGAATTTGTGTGAGACAATTGTTTCATCTTAATATGATAATCCTCAGAAGTTCAGACCAGCAACTGAGTCAGAACTCCATTCCCTTAACTAAATATTCAACTAAGTCGTCATTATAGATTAATAGTGATAATTTGATTGACTTGAAGCTAATTTTCACCAGCACAAAACCTAAATCCAAGGTTTCCTGCCTACTTTTTAAGATTAATTAATATCAATGAGAACTATTTGCTGTGTTTAGATTTCACAGTTGAAATGATGTCCTGGAATTGTTGTTCATATCTCCCACAGAATTACACGATCACAAAAATGCCTGAACGTATATTTGTTAGCGTTTGTATTATCCTGCTGTCGATAGTTAAAACTGAGCTTTGATCAGTCCCTGTTGTCATATTCGCATCCTGGTCGAGACCGATAGATTCTGGGTTCGAATCTCGCGAGGTGGGATCGTGGATGCTCACTTCTGAGGATTCCCATACTAGGACGAAACGACCGTCTAAAGCTTCCAGGTTTTTCATGGTAGTCTAGATTCAATTGAATCATGAATTAAATTTTTACATTTTTAGGTAACTTTAGTATATAGCTAACAATGGAATTCAGAACTCATGTTTCGACCTATTTATAACTCATTGGATGGATTTACACTTATATCTTAGTGTTGATGTTCACATAATGATCTAAATTCCAGAACCTATCGTTTTCAATGTCGAGCTATTCTGGGAATAGATAGTCGATAGCTTAATTAAAATGTATTTAATCATTTGTAAAGGTTTGTATTTAAACGAAGTTGATAATTCAGTGTGAGGATGGTCCACAGGTGAACTCGAGGAAGTTCTAAGATGCACCTGCGCCATTGCAAACGATTTTGAGCCATGTCATTCAGGATCTCTAACCATCGGTTGTTATCATCTCACGGTCCCCAACCAGGTAGTCTGTACCTACGCGGTATAATAAGAAACGAAGCTCTAGATATGACATTAAGTCTTCAATTGATCAATATTGGTATCCATTTGGATCATTCATGAATTGGCAATGATATTTCCTTGCAATTACAAACTATATGCAAATATTCACTTGATATTGTTTTATTTGAATCTTCCCATTGATGTTTTTGGACTGAAATTGATCAGCCTCTTATTGGCATATGTGCATACTGTGCGTATGCCTCGATATTGCCTTAATTTACAAGCATTGTAAGCAAAGATGGATAGTGGCTAGCAGTGGAATCCAGGACGCGCGTTTCGTCCTGTTTGGGACTCATCAGCTGGATGTACCTGCATCGAACGGTACTGAGTTCGAGTCCCAGAGTGAACATCAACTCTGAGATGCAGGTACATCCAGCTGACGAGTCCCAAACAGGACGAAACGCGCGTCCTGGATTCCACTGCTAGCCACTATCCATCTTTGCTTATATGCAAATATGTTTTTTTTATCAAGAAGTTGTAACCAGTAGAGTTTACACAACTTAATAGTGAGATAATAATTATTTTAAGAATTCAATAATCCTCAGGTTATGTAGTCAGTCGGCTGAAGGAATACAATGTGAACCTTTGCACTTGAATCTATTTATATCAGTTCATCAAGTTGATCAATAAACTTTGAATGCGTCGAGTTCAATTGTGTGTTATCTCTGCAACTATTTACTTATGATTTATATCTAATCTATAATCTCCTACTATATAATCTTTCTTTTTAATAGGCTATTCCTATCAATGAAGATGATTTAACTCTTGTACATGATAAATGGTATATAGAGAAAATCAAACAATCATGTCATATGTCCAATCGTGAATTATATTCATTATCCGGAGAATATGACGGAGTATTCTTTAATCGGGTATGTTCGAGCTTAAGACTATTAGACATTTTACATTATGATCTTTTGAATTGTGTTCTGCTATGAATGTTGTTGTCCGAATTCTAATACCGATACATGACTTGCCACACACATACCTGAGCATAAACTCAATGGTGGACGGAGAAGTATGTTAGGTGACCGAATATTATGCACAAATTTATATATATATATATATAACTCAACCAACCAGATCGATCATCACTCACTCACAAAAACACACGACTCACCTCAGTCTACCGAGGACACAATCAACCTCGTCTGTGCTGCATCACACACACTAATCCAAACTACACTTCGTCATACACATCTCCCTAATCACCCAAACATACACATTCACTCTATACATCCACATGTACACCGTTCATTCACACCACGTTACAAATCATCATGTCGGTACACACATCACTCAACACGAACAACCAACACAACTGTGTCCACCATCAACACAATCCAAATTCAATTCAATCATTCATCAATCCACGAACACACAAACACACAAACACACACACACACATATGTATATATATATATATGTATATATAAGTATATGTATATGTATATACACTCACACACTCAAAACCATCATACACAACTATGCCACATACTGAATCACATCTACTCCATACAGAAACAACTCCACTCATACTACACTACAACCATCTGTCCCACACCAATCTCTCTTCAACGACTACACTCATGCGAACGATCATCGTCAGAACATATCCACACTGACCATCATAGACACACGCACAAACAAGTATTCATTGTCAGAATCAGTTCAGCATCACTGCTGTACACAGTCTCAGTGTTTTACAAGCGAGCACCGAGTCAAACAGTGGTGTGTCGCACTCTTAATCAATCATTCACCCCTTCACGCTATCATGCATTCATTCATGCATTAACTCACTCACACACTCATTAGGATATTCAATGGATCACTCGTTGACGTGTCTTTAGAGGTAACACTTTCGTCATCTGCCTTCCAGGGGTTGAACTTCTGCCGAGAGATTCACTTCTTGACTTAGGATATGCCGATGACATAGTTCTATTCGGTGAAGACGCTGACAAAATGCAGTCTTCTGACCAATCTAAGCAACAATGCCGGCATGTTCGGGATGCGATTCTCCCCCTCGAAATGCAAAATGTTGCTCCAGGATTGGGTTGCATTGACACCCGAACTAATGATAGGGAGTGAAGTAGTTGAGCGTGTTGACCGCTTCACTTATCTTGTAAGTCTCATAACCCCCTGTGGTCTGGTGTGTGACGAAATCTCAGAACGGATACAGAAGGCTAGGCTAGCTTTTGCGGACTTGCGTCATTTATGGCGTAGGCGAGATATTCGTCTATCAACCAAAGGACGTGTTTACTGCACAGAAGTTCGTTCCGTCCTACTTTATGGCAGTGAAGCGTGGCCGTTAAGAGTAGAGGATATCCGTAGTTTACTAGTATTTGATCATAGGTGTCTTCTAAATATTGCTCGTATATCCTGGGACCATCGAGTAAGTAACGCAGTTGTTAGGAAACGAGTACTAGGTAAGGATGGCAACATGGCACAAATGCATAAAGTCACTGACAAGCGGACTGAGCCATGTTGGTAGGTGTAGACTACCTGGTTGGGATCCGTGAGACGATAGCATCCGATAATTAGAGACCCTGAATGACATGGCTCAAAATCGTTTGCAATGGCGCAGGTGCATCCACTCTTTGTGTTCTCCCAAATTCTAATCTTCTGAACTTTTAATGTCCCTTTATTCTTTTCTCTTTCCAAATTTATTTCACTGGATTATACTCCTTGAATAACATGTTCAAACCCTAATGTCTCCGATTACTGCTTATATTCTTACCGCCTCTACCACTACGGGATTTGAGTCGATAACTGCATCTCCGTGCTAATGTGGTATGGCAACTTGAACTGATGTACGTACGTACGAAGTTCCAGGTTGTTACTGACCGGCTGTATGTTCGTCTGACCACCTCAAGGATATTGAACCGGACTCGGTCTAGTAGATGAATGCACAGGACGTGTTATGGACGATCGTTATGATGTGACATAACGGATGGGCAATAGTGGAGTGTGATGTAGTGGTTAGGCAGGGTATTGGTTTTCCATAAGATGCGGACGAACACCTCGCACACAAACTTATCAATTCACACTTCTGTCACATACAATCAACACACATACATATCTTACACAACTTATATAACGGGAATGTTTTTGAATGTCCACTTAAAATTTAAATGTCCCTTGGTATTGTACTCTTTCTTTTGTATGTTACTCTGCAAGACTGTTGAAAGTAGGCAATATAAGGAAGTTTCATGGGTCTATAGGTTATTAACCCTTCAATTTGAAATGACACAAATTGTAGAGAGATTGGAAATTAGATAAAACTAAATAACTATTTGATCTTATATCAATACCTATCAGAAGCATGAATTCATCATCACGCACACCATTGAATCCCGGAGTTTTCAGATCAGTTCATGAAACTATTTCAAATAACTAAACACAATTATTTTTTCATGAAAATTCGCACGAAAAATTTTCTAACAGTATTGTGGATATTATAGTAATGTAATGATTGAAATCATGAGTCAATTGAAGCTAGACCTCCATGGAAAACCTGGAAGCACTGGACGGCCGTTTCGTCCTATTGTGGAACGACCGTCCAGTGCTTCCAGGTTTTCCATGGGGGGCTAGCTTCAACTGACTCATGAATTCAGCTAATAAATTACTATAATATCCATTAACACCCCTCTCTGATTGTCATCATCATATGCTCACTAGTGACTGGCTTCAAGATGTTACATCCTGAGGTCCTAGTGAGAATCAGTAACCAGTGAAGTTCAATTGTGTCTGTTGTGAGATAGTAACCCGCTGAAGACAATGGTGGATATATGGCTGAATTTCGTGGATTAGTCGAAGTTAGACATTAACACCGTTGGATACCGGCAATTTTAATGGTTTAGAGGTTAGGTGTGCGCATGCGAGATCGACAGGTCCTATTTTCAAATCTCGTGATGCATAATCATGGATGTGCACTGCTGAAAAGTCTCATAGTACGACGAAATAGTCATCCAGTACTTCAAGGTTTTCCATGGTAATCTAACTTCAGTTGACTCATGAATTCAACTATTAAACATAACTTATTTTACATGTTACACATCCTATTCATCATTCATTATTTACAATCTACTCATGACATGACTATATCATATTGATTTTTGTTTATTAAATAAACATGTAAATTGTTCTAAAATCAATAAATCACTCATATGATACTATTTGACATTGAATGTAAGTTCACTTACAACAATGATGCTTTACATCTATTTCATAATGAATATGTGTGCCAAAAAAGAACACATTAGAATGACAATAGTTGAGATCATGAGTCAATTGAAGCTAGACCATCATAGAAAATCTGGAAGCATTGGACAGCTATTTTCTCTTAGTATGTGATTCGTCAGAAGTGCACAGCCACGATCTCACCTCACGAGATTCGAAGCCAGGACTTATCGGTCTAGCGTGTGAACGTTTGTTTGAAAAATATTCATAGTGAGACTATGAATATTTATTGACGAATCAAACAGATTTAGGCATGAAAATCATTCATCCATTTGGATAAATAGAGTTTTGGTACTTTAGCCTGATGTCACTTCCTGATAATAATATTAAAATACTGTGAAACTAATTCCTAACCTTAATCATCAATTGTGAATCATGATCCTTACTCCTCAAACTGTTTTATAACCTTCACTTAATCCTAGTAAGTAGGTAAACACATAAAGAGAGTTTGCTGTCGCTCAAAGCTCATCCATAAATTATAGTCTCACCGAATGTTCATTAGTCTTACAGTAAAGAACATAATAAGACTTCAATGATATTATCCTTTTAGGTACTCCGACTAATAAAAGTTTTTAATGAAAAGTTAAACATTTATTCAATAGCTGGAAGAAACCTTTGAAGAAACTTTTGAAATCGGTCTTCCCTCTTTTTGTAATTGATATTCACGATCGGCATTTATTCTATTTATTTAAACACATATATATTGGTACAAAGGGCCCCCGAATACATATGCGCCACACATGTCATTTGATTTGTGTGTGGGCTACGATACTGCCCGGGTGCCCAAACCGAAGCACGTGGTTTTCTTAAAGAGTCATGTTCAGAGCCTTTAACCTGAAGATCTGATTCACAAGGCAGTGGAGCAACGTCAGGTGATTCAGTCCCATGGCAACTAGTGACCGATAGTTGGTTCATACGCCATTTATTGCCTTAGGATCCTGGAGCTCATGTTTGGTATCAAGGTTTCCCAATTCTCCTAGGTGGACTCACCGTGTCCGCCAACCTAGTTAAAGCGCCTGATATTCGGTTTTCGTCCTCTCGATTTTGTAAACAACAATAATACCTCGAGAAGACAGTGGATAGGACATCGCTGACAGTGGTCATATGAGAGAATTTGAAGAGGGAGAGCTAACCCTCCCCACTCTCGTCTGTACCAGGGTATTCGGGGTCTAAATGTTTATTCAATAACTAGAAGAAACCTATAAAAACTTTTGAAATTAGTCTCCACTCTTTTTATAATTGATATTTACAATTCGTAAGGGGATAATATTTATAGTTTTAAATAAGCTACAATTAATGATGATAATAATATCGATTTATGGTAGAGTTAAGTAGGATTTTCTCTATTTCTTCCTTCTAGTATATATATATATATATATATATATATATATATATATATATATATATATATGTTGTATCTATGTTGTAAGACACATAGTAACCGACAAAATATATTCATCTATTTACTTTTAATATCGATTTAAATAAGATTGTGTAATAGTTGGATATAACAGAACATAGAGTCAGAAGAAAAACTTGATTAATCAATAACTTATAATGAGAAACCAATCAGAAATAAAAAGTGTCATGGATGGCATAAAATACAACTGATCTCAAATTGATAAGTCGTGTAGGTTGAACGCTATATACGATTCCTAAGCTATTTCGGTAACCCGCAGTCTAGAACTACACAGCGACTTGAACACCAGAGAGAAGACACAAGAACGAGAGAAAGCACTTTATTCCAAGGTTCATTTTTGTACAGAAAATCATGGGTATTTATAGATTTTGGCGTCTGTTAAATCAACATCAATTTACAGCCAATCCGATAACAACACATTATGCTACCGACCAATAGTAGCACGCCACGTTGGAATTCTGGAACGTTCCATCACACTCTGATTGGCTAGGACTCTTCGGCTCCTTTTGGGCCTCTGGAGGCTCCGTTGAAGTTCTCTGGAAGCCGACCCAACACAAATCTCATGTATATTCACTTATTTTTAGAAGGATTATTGGTATATCTTAATAACATCTTCACATTAAGGCAATATCGAAGCATACACACAGTAGGCACATATGCCAATAACAGACTGATCAATTTCAGCCCGAAAACATCAATGGGATCTTTACATTCTTTTTCCAAAAAAGGTTCTTGATCTTATTCATATGAGTCTTTAATGAATAAATATCAGTATAAAGTTGTTGAGTCTGATTAGAATCATAAACCAACCAATGTTAGATCACCATTGAAAATCTGAAAACGTTGGATGGATGTCTTGTTCTAGTATAAGCGTATGCACGATCACGCACGTAGTATCCGAAACCCAGGACCTTCGATCTCGTGTGCGAATGCCTAACGTCGAAACTATTGAGTCCGTGTCCAATGGTGTTAATGATTAACTTTAATCAATCCACGATATTGTGTGACCATCACCCATTGTCTTCAGTGGTTAACTGCCTCAAGCTCAGCACGGTTGAGCTCCACTGGTCATGGCTTCTCACTATAACTCTGGAAGCTAGTCGCTAGTGAACATATGATAACTATCACTACAGCATTGTGGATTTCAATAATTAACAAAATTATAGGATGACGTTTAATACATAAGCTACCGCAAACATGCCTCTTACTAGACTCATCTTCGTATTTCGTTTGCGAGGAATTATTCTTACTGACTCAGTTACTAGAGAAAGATTGTACTTCATTCCCTTTAAACGGGTCATTTGATTGTGCAACTTGCCCGATAAGTTGACTTTCATTAACCTTCAACTGATTTAGCTCCTAGCTTGAAGTTGACAAAATACCCACATCTCTCTGTCCCAAAGAAACGACTTTCATCGGTATAAGCCCTTCAGATGTGTACTAATTTCATGATCGACGGTTTTCAACACACCCTTCTAAGGTTAGTAATATTTTTACAACACTTAGTTAATTATAGGGCACACCATGCAGACACCCTAGTACATTTGGTAATACGAATTGGGACTCAGATACGAGATCTACTGTCACTGCTCACGTTATCAGGAAGTGGACAACTAAGCCTTACACAGACCAAGGTGGACCGATTGCGCTCACACCACAAAGCTAATGCGATGGGACACCCGGCGCTAACAATCACTCACCGTTGAGCCCAGGCATTTTTGATCCTATGGACGACCAACAACTGCAATCAGCAACTAAGAACGAACCTGACCTCAGATACATACAACAGCGCTACAGCAGATCTACACGGCGTCTCCAGTCGCCAAGTTCACTAAGTGGATAGTTACTTTGCCCCATAATGACACAGAAAGAAATTAAGCCGAAAAATGGTGATTTATTGAAAGGAATAAGCAGAACAACTAGTAGAGTATTGCTTTATGCATCTTCAAGTTCCTCTTCGAATTCACCTTCTTCTTCGGCGGTTGCATCTTGATATTGTTGATACTCGCTTACCAGATCGTTCATATTAGATTCTGCCTCGGTAAATTCCATCTCATCCATACCTTCACCGGTGTACCAATGCAAGAAGGCCTTTCGGCGGAACATAGCCGTGAACTGTTCAGAAACACGCTTAAACAGCTCCTGGATGGCAGTGCTATTGCCGATAAATGTCACTGACATTTTTAGTCCACGGGGTGGAATATCGCAGACGGCAGTCTTGACGTTGTTAGGGATCCAGTCAACAAAGTAACTGGAATTCTTGTTCTGAACATTTAACATTTGCTCGTCGACTTCCTTCATAGACATACGGCCACGGAAAATAGCCGCCACTGTCAAATAACGCCCATGACGCGGATCACAAGCTGCCATCATGTTCTTCGCATCAAACATTTGTTGCGTTAACTCAGGAACAGTTAGTGAACGATATTGCTGGCTACCACGGCTAGTAAGTGGTGCGAAGCCGGGCATGAAGAAGTGCAAGCGTGGGAAGGGGACCATATTGACAGCCAGTTTTCGAAGATCGGCGTTTAACTGTCCAGGAAATCTGAGACAAGTTGTGACCCCAGACATTGTCGCGCTGACCAGGTGATTCAAGTCACCGTACGTAGGGGTTGTCAGTTTCAACGTTCGGAAGCAGATATCATAAAGCGCCTCATTATCAATGCAATATGTTTCATCAGTATTTTCAACCAGTTGGTGTACAGACAACGTCGCGTTGTACGGCTCAACAACAGTATCCGATACCTAAAAATCAAATTCAAAAGACCTGTTATGAATTTCAAGATATGTACGCACATAGGCACTCTTCGGACTAATACTTATTATAAAAGTTAATCATTTGAAGCTGCTATCCAAGCGCAATATGGATAGGACAAATCTCAGATGTCCCACGAACACAAAACTAGTGCATGGCAAAAATGAAGCGAGGTTACGCTGACGAAACTTAACAGGTCCTGACACTCGATGAGCGACAGGACTTTGTGAAACAAAATGTTCCATTCGTAAATTAAGACTACAGATTCTTGTAGGAAGATTTTAGGTGAGATAGTTATTTGGATAATCAAAATTATATAACCACTCACTTTTGGTGAAGGAACGACCGAAAATGTATTCATAATCCGATCAGGGTACTCCTCACGAATCTTCGAGATCAACAGCGTCCCCATACCTGAACCTGTACCACCACCGAGCGAATGGGTTAATTGGAATCCTTGAAGGCAATCACAGGATTCTGCTTCTTTTCTTACGACGTCTAAGACAGAATCTACAAGTTCTGCTCCTTCTGTGTAATGGCCTTTAGCCCAATTATTCCCAGCGCCACTTTGACCAAATACGAAATTATCAGGACGGAAAAGTTGACCGAAAGGTCCTGCACGAACACTATCCATGGTGCCTGGTTCTAAGTCCACTAAGATAGCTCTTGGAACATATTTGCCACCGGATGCTTCATTGTAGTAAACATTGATTCGCTCAAGTTGTAGATCTGAGTCACCATGATATGTTCCAGTCGGATCGATGCCATGCTCATCCGAAATAACTTCCCAGAACTATGAATGAAAAATAAGCGATGATAAGTGAGCAAATGCCAATTAGTATTTATATGTTTAATATAGAAAACCAGTAATTTCACTTACTTTGGCACCAATTTGGTTACCACACTGACCAGCCTGTATATGAACTATCTCACGCATGTCAAAACAAAGAATAAGCGATATTAATGTTAGCTTATGCCTGACTTTAAATATATATATATATATATAGCTAGGTAATCGATTCACTTGGACTGATAAACTAGATAAATGATTGGATGAAATTTAGCAAATTATTTTTCACTCACTTTCTATAAATTGATTGGTTAAATTAACTGTCTACAAATGTGGGTGTTGGTGGTGTTGACGCATAGTTTACATTGCCACATGTAAACTTCACTGTTACGTGATTGGTTAGTTAGTTTAACTGGGTAGTCAGTCTGATGATATTCGATTTATTGATTGGTTTATTGACTGAATATCCTCTTAATGTTGTTTTTCCCTTTATTCAACAACCCTTGTAATTATGAATAGGCAATAGGTCTGACCCTTAAAAAAAGCGATCAATATTATCTGACCTTTTTGATGTGGTTTTTGTTCTCTGAGTTGGATGGTTTAGTTGTGGAGCTTTCATCGTTCTTCTGAACAACATCATCAGCACGACCAAACCATCCAGCTCAGAGGACAAAACCTCATCAAAATCACCCACCTGAGCTATAAATCTCCACCATCTCATTATCTGACTTCATTATGTTTCGAAGACGAAAAACCAATGAATTGAGATTTATGAACAAAACATGTCTAGCTCATCTTTAGTCTTGATTATAGGACATTCTATTTATACAAAGAAATACAATACTTCATGTGCATAAAACCATAAGTTCTATGTGAAGTTTGTGTTGATGATGTCGTTCAGAAGAACAATAAAATATTCCACAACCACACCATCCAGCTCAGAGAACACAACTCCATCAAAACTATAAGTACTTGTTATTCATTCCTTTAAGTAGATAGATAAAACGAAGTTGTTTTGACTCTATTCAGGTTAATAATACTTCCTAATGAGTATACGAGTATATTCATCTATGTAGGTGTATGTACCGATTTTATTTGGTTTTAGTGTGATACTGGTTCTAAATTGACGTTGGGTGGCGATTGTGTCAACTAAATCCTAGTTTATACACTATATACTGTTTTGTATTCCAAGTGGATGCTAATATTGATAAGATTCAAACTGGCGTAAGTATATTCAACTGTATAATCACTTATCTTAGTGTAAACATAAGTATGTCCATGAAAAATAATGCCGTAACTAGCAGTATACTTCAAAAAACGTTGTATTCCTCAGAACGTTTAGAAAAGCCTAATTTGTCAAAATTTGAACTACCAATATTTCCGAGAAAAACATATTCAACAGAGCTCCAAATTCTTTCCTCCAGAAGGTACCTCGACCTGTAAAGTATCAAGGATAAAGTGTTTTGTCTACCTCGATCTGAATTCATTAGTTTACGTGCTCTTATGGAGCAGGTTTCACTTCCTCCACAAAATGTGTTCTTTGCAAACATTTATCCTAGTGATACCCTGTATAGGTATCCAAGGGGAATATACGAGACAGTAAACACTTGAATCTTTGAAAATATAGCCATCATTTGTTACATTCCACTTTCAGGATTATCACTAAATTCTAAAGAACGCTTGAGTCAGTTATTTACTGGTGGATCTATAGTCATTCGAATCTGATCTCTGTGTACAAAAAAGAACATATCTGATTGTTTTCTTTCACCGTAATCTTTACATCCATTCTAACTGGTGCTATATCAGTTATTCTCTTGTTCTTTAAGTATTTCATATTTAGTAAATGAACTATTATCTTCTATATTCCTTCTATAAACTACTATTAGTTATTATCTTAAAAGATTATAATGTAAATTTTGTTCAATACTTGACATAATTATTCCTTCATGGTTTCACTACAGAATAATATGTATAAAGTTGATCATAAATACAGTTTTACAGCTTAAGTATATAGAGTTTATAGCGAGTTAGTTTTCTATGGGATGGGGTCTGTAACCCCATGCCCAACCCTTCTCCTTTATTCGGGCTTGAGGCCCCCAAATGCCCTGGTACGGCCTAGAGTAGGGAGGGTAGCCCTTCCTCTTGAAATGCTCTCACACGGCCACGTGTATATAGCCTCTGACATGGAAGTCTTACTCACTGTCTTCTCGTGGCGGGGGTGTTGTTTACGAAATTGAGAGGACGAAAAGCGAATATCAGGCGCTTTAACCGAGTTGGTGGACATCGAGAGCCCATCTAGGGGAGTTGGAAAACCCTCATTCCAAACCAATGGTGCACATGGGCTCCAGTGTCCTGAAGGAACAAATGGCGTATGAACCAATCGTTGATCACTGGCTACTATGGGAATGCATCTCCTTACGATGCTCCACTACCTTGTGGATCAGACCTTCAGATCGAAGGCTCGGGGAGTGGCCCCCTAAAAAAACCACCTACTTCGGTTTGGTCACCCGGGCAGTATCACAGCTCTCACACATATCGAATGAGATTTGTGTGGTGCATATGTATTTGGTGCCTCCTTGTACCAATACCTATGTGTTAAAATAAAAATTCGGGCTTGAGACCGGAAGTAGCCCCGGAGGGGCTTCGGGCGGAGTTGCTTAAATATATGACATCGTCTAAAAGAAAATCTTCCTCGAACTATTGTCTTTACATTTTATGATGTGATAGCCTTTCATAGGTTGAAATCATGAGTCAATTGAAGTTAGACCACCATGGAAAACCTGGAAGCACTGGACGGCCGTTTCGTCCTAGTACGGGACTCCTCAGCAATGCGCATCCACGATCCCGCACCCACACAGCGGGACTCGAACCCAGGACCTACTGGCTTCGCGCGCGAGCACTTAACCATTAGACCACTGAGCTGGCATCCAACGGTGTTAATGTCTAACTTCAACCAATCCACGAAGTTGCGCCACCGAACACCATTGTCTTCAGTGAGTTACTATCTCACAACAGACCTGGTTGAACTCCACTGGTGACGGCTTCTCACTAGAACTCCAGGAGGTTCTCCTGAAAGTCAGTCACTAGTGAGCAGTTGATTATTATCAGAATTAGTTTTGTGGAGATTTTAGGATGCGCACTGCTGAGGAGTCCCATACTAGGACGAAACGGCCGTCCAGTGCTTCCAGGTTTTCCATGGTGGTCTAGCTACAATTGACTCATGATTTCAACCTATGAAATTTCCTAAAATCTCCACAAAACTCATTCTGGTGATAGCCTTTCTTTGATGTGCTTACAACAAGCTAATGAAATAGAGCAAAGCATAACAACGCGCAGTGCAGATGGCTGGTAGGCCAACTCCATTTCTAGTCAGGCATTACTCAATATTCATAGGCAGACAAAATGAACTACAGACATGTGATGAGTCATGGGATATGAAGTGTGCACACATATACGCTCATATAAAAACAGTCAAGACTGATATGAGAATAATTAACAAGGTCAACAGATATGACTCAAGTAGAATGAATAGATTGGAATGTCCAAAAACTAGAATAAGATTTATGATGGGCTTAAAATAATGACTGATACTATACGTCTTCTCCTGAATTTGTTGTTGCGTGTGCGACTAAAGAGCCAGATCATCTGCGAAGTTTAGATTGTCCAGCTGAATCCTAGCTGGTCCATTATATCCCATGCTTCCTCCCGATGACATACACTAAGATGATATAATGTATTTAAGTTTTCCAAACAGAATACGGTAGAATTGATCTGTCCATAGTTTATATAACTATGCATTCCAAGTAAGGACCGGAGTCAGACAAGGCTGTTTACTCTCTCCCTTCCTCTTTCTTCTGGTGGTCGACTGGATTATGAAGACCTCAACATCTGAAGGAAAACACGGAATACAATGGACAGCTCAGAACCAATTAGACGATTTGGACTTCGCAGATGACCTAGCCCTCCTATCACGTACACACGAACAGATGCAGATGAAGACAGCCAGTGTAGCAGCAGTCTCTGCATCAGTAGGCCTCAGCATACACAAAGGGAAAACTAAGGTCCTCAAATTCAAAGCGCACAACAGCAATCCAATCACACTTGATGGCGAAACTCTGGAAGATGTGGAGTCCTTCACATACCTGGGAAGCATCATCGATGAACAAGGAGGATCCGATGCAGACGTAAAGGCGAGGATCGGCAAAGCAAGGGTCTCATTCCTACAATTGAAGAACATATGGAACTCAAAACAACTTTCAACCAATATCAAAGTGAGAATCTTCAATACGAACGTCAAGGCAGTTCTACTGTATGGAGCTGAAACTTGGAGAACTACAACAACCACTATCAAGAAGGTACAAGTATTTATAAATAGCTGTCTACGCAAGATACTAAACATCCATTGGCCGGATACCATCAGCAATAACCTTCTGTGGGAGAGAACAAACCAACTTCCAGCTGAAGAGGAAATTAGAAAAAGACGATGGAAATGGATAGGACATACATTACGCAAATCATCGAACTGCATCACGAGGCAAGCCCTAACTTGTAATCCTGAAGGGAACCGGAAAAGAGGAAGGTCAAAAAACACATGACGTCGGGGAATAGAAGCAGATATGAAAGCGATGAATTACAACTGAACGGAGCTAGAAAGGATTGCCCAGGACAGGGTTAGACGGAGAATGCTGGTGAGCGGCCTATGCTCCTTCACGAGGAGTAACAGGCGTAAGTAAGAAGTAAGATAGTTTATATAACTAATCACATGCTATATTCATATAGTGTGAATGGTCAGTTAAGGCTCTTGGTAGTTTTGTGTACTGGGAATCTGTTTTGTTTTTGATACCGGAGTAATCACCAATGTACATTTTTGACTCAACCAACTATCAAGAATAAACTGAAATTGAAATTGAAACCTTTTTGGAAGAATAATTCAGTTATTGTAATCTCCACGATATCTGAAAGTCATAGATATGTGTTGATGGGGAATATCAAATTGAGATAAAACAGCACATATGTATCTTTTATAATGACCATTATTAAGTTTATTATTTATTTAGTTGAACATATAAATATTGGTACAAAGGGGCACCGAATACATATGCACCATATAAATTAATTGATTTGTGTGAGGGCTGGGTTACTGACCGGGCGCCCAGAGCGAAGAAGGTGGTTTTCTTAGGGAGCCACATTCGGAGCTTTCAACCTGAACGTCTGATACACAAAGCAGTTGGATAACGTCAGGAGATGCAATCACATGGTAGTCAGTGACCAACAATTGGTTCATACGCCTTTTGTTTCCTCCGGATACTGGAGCCCATGTGTACCATTGGTTTGGAATAAGAGTATTTCAACTCTTAGTGAATCCTCTGTATCCACCAACCCAGTTAAAGTGCCGAATGTTCGCTTTTTGTCCTCTCAATTTCGTAAACGATACCCTCACCGCGAGAAGACAGTGAATAGGACTTTTCTGGTAGTGGATGTATACGTGTTTCCATGGGAGAGCATTTCGAGAGAGCGGACTCTTCCTACCCTCTAACGTACCAGGGCATTTGGGGGCCTCTATCTACAACCAAAAAGGGATTGTTTGTACTACTCTTACAAAATCTAGAAGGGTTAAATATAAGGTGATTCATAGGTGGGTATTGTTCAATAAAAGTAAACAACTCAATCATTTCTATATAATCGGAACAGGAAAAAGTGAGCATACACACATCAAGACGATTTTAATATTTTACAAAAGTGTTCTTCATAGAAACAAATCACACAAGAAAAAAGGAAAAGAAATGAACAGAGATAAAGAATAGCTCACTGAGGGACATCATGCTTGACAAGTGAATAAATATTAATCTCTTCCAGAGACGTAAGAACACAGTCAAGAGTTCCACAATAAGACGAAACTGCGGTTCACTGCTTCCAAATTTTCCATGATGGTCTAGCTTCAATTGACTTGTGATCTCAACTATTGAAATTACTGTAATATCCATCCGCAAAAAACCCCTTCTGATAAGATTAGTTTTATTGGTTATCCATAACAATCTCTTCAATTTCCGAAAGATCTTGAAGTATAAGAAAACAGGATTACGGTCAAGTAATTTATACTGAACTGTTGTAACATCTTTTTCTAGACTAAGTACCATCTTATACAGAGTCTCAGGTACTTAGATATAATACCTTCATAAAAATTGTAGTGTAACTTACAATATTTTCATTAAAAAATCACAAAGTTATGCATCAACTACTCACTAATTAAATGTGGACGGACTTTGTCTAAGAGTAGACTCCAAAATGCGTATTTCGTCCCATTTAAGACTCGTTAACTGGATGTGCCCTACATTCCAATATTGAGGCTTACATTTGGAAAATATAAGTTTTGAACAAGTTAGTGGTAATATTAGCGCATGTAACAAAAGGTATTGGGTTCGAGTTGCAAGGTAAACGTTAGTACTGGGGAATAGGTACATCCAGCTCTAACACGTTTCAAATAGGACTTATTCAGTGTTTTAGATTTCACTATTAGCCATAAATCATTTGTTCAAAAAAACCTGTGTTATGATAGGTATATCGAGGTAATCCGTACAGGATCTCCCTTGTATAAAAAAAGGATGATCACAAATTCACTCCTGAATATCAACAAGGGAATACTTCAAACACTTACTAATTATCAGTATAGGGTTGTGGAGATTATTAAGTTTTTGATTGAGCTCATGAACCGATTGATGTTAGACCACTATTGAAAACCTGAAAGCACTGGACGACCGTTTCATCCTATTGTGGGACTCCTCAACATTACGCATTCACTATCCCACTCGTGGGATTCGTGGATTAGTCTAGGTTAGACATCAACACTGTTGGATGCCAGCCAGCTCAGTGGTATAGGGGTTAAGTGTTCACGCGCGAGACCGATATGTCCTGTGTTCGAATCTCGTAAGGAGGGTTCATGGATGCACACTGTTGAGGCATCCCCCACAGGGACATAACAGCCATCCAGTGCTTCTAGGTTTTCAATAATGGCCCAATGACCGACTGCCTCGACGTGCGATGTTCAGTGGTATAGGAGTAGGTTGGAAGAAAGCTAGGGGCAGCCAGACCAAAACATGGCACAAACCCATGAAGTCACTCACAAGTGGTCTGAGTCATGTCGGTAGGTGTAGACTACATGGTTGGGGACCGCGAGATGATAGCAACCGATGGTTAGAGACCCTGAATGACATGGCTCAAAATCGTTTGCAATGGTGTCCGCAGGTGCATACACTCTTTGTGTTCTCCCAAATTTTGATCTCCTTATTCCTCCTTGTCTCTTTTTTTCTCTTCCTAAATTTATTTCACTGGATTATACTCTTTAAGTAACATTTCCAAACCCTAATCTTCCCGATTACTGCTTATACTCTTATTACCTCTACCACTACGAGATTTGAATCGATAACTGCTGTACGTATGTACATCTAGCACTACGGGATTTGAATCGACCACTGCATCTCTGTGCTAATGTGGTGTGGCAACTCGAACTGATGTACGTACTTACGAAGTTCTACGTTGTTACTGACTGACTGATATCAGTCAGTTCATGATCTCAATCAGATCTTACTAATCATGATTGTTATTTTTTTAAAATTGTTTTTCTTTTCATCTACAGTACACTTGGCTTTGTGCAACATTAGCAGCTGGAAGTGTAAAACATTTAACTGAATTAATTATCACTAATCAATTATCTAATGGTTTAGCATTAATTCGTCCACCAGGTCATCATGCTATGCGTTCAGAAGCTTGTGGTTATTGTATATTTAATAATATCGCTATTACGGCTGCTAAGTTTCTTCAACCTAGTGATGTAAACACAGTAACAAAGAAATCAATAAATAAACATAATTTAACTTATTTACAACGTATATTAATTATTGATTGGGATGTACATCATGGACAAGGGACACAATATGCGTTTTATAATGATAATCGGTAAGTTATTGATTATTTATATTGAATGTTATATTTATATGTTATAGTAAATATTTTTGATTAGTTCAAATCATGAGTCAGTTGAAGCTAGACCACCGTGAAGAACCTGGAAGCACCGGACGGCCGTTTCGTTCTAGTATGGGACTCCTCGACAGTGCGCATCCATGACCCCGTCCCCCCGGCGAGGTTCGAACCGAGAAACTTCATTCTCGCGCGCTAGCGCTTAACCATTAGACCACTGAGCCGGCTCGCGCACGAGACTGATAGGTCCTGGGTTTGGAACTCTCTAGGGGTGGGATTGTGGATGCGCACTGATGAGGAGTCCCATACTTGGACGAAACGGCCTTCCAGTACTTCCAGGTTTTCCGTGGTGGTCTAGCATCAATTGACTCATGATTTCAACTATTGAAATTACTAAAATCTCCACAAAACCCTTTCTGAAAATATTTTTTATTTGATAAATTAATTGGTTACAAAAAAATTGTTCACATAGTTACTAAATAACTTATGTTCATGAATTTATTAGGGTTTGTGTTATCTTGATGTTAGTATTTATAATTGAATTTTGATTAGTAACTGTTAGAATTTGTATCTCTGGGGTCGATATTTTGAACTACCTTTTTGAGCCCTCCCCGCCATAAGTGCCCTGATACTAGGAGAGTTGAAAAACCCTGATTCCAAACCGACATCATATATCTTATTTAGAATATTTGATCTTTGTAGGAAATTTGAAAACTCGGTTCTAAGTGCTAAGCTTTATAATATAGATAGGTCGTCCTAAATGATGATGGTTTTTCACCAAATGAGGTGCTTGTCAAAGCTGACAATCTATTTCACAACGGAAAAGATTGACAGACTTGGAGTAACGAACGGAGTTGATTTCATTGTCTTAGTGAAGATGATTTGAGGTATGAGTTGTAAATTGTTAGGTGTTTTGACTCATGGACGTTGTTGGGTGTTTCTCATGATTTCACTGATAACATGTTTTATTAAAAAAGATTAGTTCAGCGACGAATATGGATACATTCACGGATATGCTGCATTTGATGAGTGGACCACGTCTGACTGACGTTTTGAATAGGTTTCTACTTAAGATGACACATCCCATTCATAGATCAATCCCGTAGAAGTGTATATTTAACACTGTAGAAACAAATGATATCGTATATGATTTGTGGTAGGGAAATTAAAATGTGATTGATCACTGAGAATGGACAAGCAGGCACTTAACCTACCGACTACTAAATCTGTGATTTCTTTCCCTCTCATTGATTTCTACTCTGAACTCACTGAGTGTAATGGTTCGTGACTGTGTTGAATAAATTATTGTCTAATGTTAATCTGGTTCTTTATTCTGAATAGTGAATCTTGGATCTGATATAACATGACAAGTCTCATTATTGTATTAAAATATCATCGTACTGTATCTGAGAAAGAAAAGTAGTTTAAATCATCCGTTATATCAGTATGATCTCTGGAAGACTAGGTATAATTCTATGTATCCATTACATAGAAAAACAGTGGGAGGATAGTCTTCGCTTCTTACAACAATAATTCTGAATCGTTGTTATTCTATAGATCAGGACTCCTTTAGAGATAACATTCAGTGATAGTTCCATTCTATTACGAATGAACTGAAATTGGAAATGCGGGTTATTTGATACTGACAATTTGTTTGACAAGAAATATGATTTTCCTTGATAGGGGTGTAATTATGTACTAATAATAAAGAGCCAAAGTTAAGATGATATATTTGCTTGATATTACTTAGTTGACATAGGCTGATGACATAAAGACCTTCACCATCATTGAATTAATCTTTACAATATTTCATAATTTCGATAAGAAAACATAACACTATAGGAGATTCTTGGGGACTATTGGATTATGTCATACATCGATCTTAGTTGGACAGCTATTGAAAACTAGGAAGAATTTGATAGGTGTTTTGTCCCGGTATGAGAGTCCTCAACAGTGCACATCTACGACCTTACAGAGGATTGAACCTAGAACGTTCGATCTCGCGCTCAAATGCTTAACCTGCTCACTGGTCCAGTGCAAGATTGAAGGTTTTGGGTTCAATCCTCTGTAGGGTCGTAGATATACTTTGCTGAAGACTCCCATACTGGGATGAAACACCTATCCAATGCTTCTTAGTTTTCAATAGTTGTCTTACTAAAGTTAATATTTAATATAATCGATCAAAATCACATTGATACATTTTCATTTTTAGTGTCCTTTATATTTCTATTCATCGTTATGAGAAAGGAACATTTTGGCCAAATTTACGTGAAGCAAATTATGATTTTATTGGTGAAAACTTAGGCAAAGGTTATAATGTTAATATTCCATTAGAAGAGGTAATTTCAAGTTTTATGCTTTAAATATTTGAACTTAGTTTATCCATGATACTTTCAATGTTCATAATCAGCACTTACTCTTCATTCAGTGATTCATTTGGAGACTCTTGGTGATATGGATCAGAATCGATCACAATGGCGTCGGTGTATGCACTCTCTGTCTTCCCTCAAACTAAGAGATTAAAATGACTTCATATCTTTCTTTCTACGAACTAATTCTTTCTTCCTATACTATGTCCTTATATGTAATCCTTCTTTTATATATTACCACCTCTGAATTAACTACTTTTATGAATCCGGTGTCCATCTTGTTGTGTTAATGAGGTATGACAACTTGGATCGATGCATATATATGCTCAGTCCTACGTTGTAACTGACTGACTGACTGACAGTGGTTCAATTGTGTACATTGGGATTTCCTTTTTTTACTAGAGATTTGGTTTCGAACTCTAACTTCTTATCAAGGATGTCAAACTACATTATACTGATATGTTCACAGAAGTTAGTTACAAATATCTTTAGACGATTGAAATGAAAACTTTTGAATAAGATCACATTTCATTCATACACTAAATGTGAACGAACAATAACCGGAACTTATCATGAATTTGATTATGTCATTAGTGATCCTACTAAGTCTACTAACTGTGATATCCTATTCACCATTTTCAATCTGGTTGGCGGTTTTTTAGCCAGATTTTTTTCTACGAGATGAAGTTGACGACTTTATGCCCGACCCTCCTCCTTTATCCGGGCTTGGGACCGACAGTAACTCTAGAGAAGAGTTACAGATGAAGTTACCATTTTTGATAATCATACAAAATTCACACATTCTCAATCCATCAACCAGGATACTAGAGAAGAAGAGAATTTGCAAGAAATGTTCGGTCTTAAGAAAAATTAATTAAATAAGTAAATACTACAGATCATTAAGTCATTTACTTATCAGTCAGTCAGTCAGTCAAAAGCAACATAGTTACCGGCGTACATATGAACTGGTTTACATTTCCATATCGCATTATCATTACGACATACGCCGCAGTAGCAGAAGTAGTAAGTGTCAGTCTTATTTCTTACTTACACCTGTAACTCCTCGTGAAGAAGCATAGGCCGCTCACCAGCACTCTCCGTCCAACCCTGTCCTGGGCAATCTTTTCCAGCTCCTTCCAGTTGTTATTCATCCTTTTCATATCTACTTCTATTTCCCGACGTAATGTGTTCTTTGGCCTTCCTCTTTTCCGCTTCCCTTCAGGATTCCAAATCAGGTCTTGCCTTGTGATGTAGTTTGATGATTTGCGTAATGTATGTCCTATCCATTTCCATCGTCTTTTTCTAATTTCCTCTTCAACTGGAAGTTGGTTTGTTCTCTCCCACAGAAGGTTGTTGCTGATGGTATCCGGCCAATGGATGTTTAGTATCTTGCGTAGACAGCTATTTATAAGTACTTGTACCTTCTTGATAGTGGTTGTTGTAGTTCTCCAAGTTTCAGCTCCGTACAGTAGAACTGCCTTGTCGTTCGTATTGAAGATTCTCACTTCTAGAGTTACTGACGGTCCCAAGCCCGGGTAAAGGAAGAGGGTTGGGCATAGGGTTAGCTACCCCATCCCGTAGAAAACTAACTCGTTAAAAAAACGCTAACCACAAAAAACAATTCAAACCATTTAGATAGGAACTCACTGAAGACAATGGTGTACGGTGGCGCAACTTCGTGGATTGGTTGAAGTTAGACATTAACACCGTTGGGTGCCGGCTCAGTGGTCTAGTTGGTTAAGCGCCTGGCGCGAGGCTGATAGTTCCTGAGTTCGGATCTCGCGGGTTTGCGAGATCGTGGATTTACACTGCTGAGGAGTCCCGTACTAGGACGAAATGGCCGTCCAGTGTTCCCAGGCTTTCCATGGTGGTCTAGCTTCAATTGACTCATGATTTCAACCAGTGAAATGACATTTAGTAGGTGTAAGTGATATTAAAAAAAGATCTAAGAAGAAAAAAAGAATTTACAGAATAAACGGTATAAGATAACTTTAAACGTTAAGATTTAAAGGAAGATCAGAAGTGAATAGTTAGGTACCAGTACGACCGATTCTAGGTCATGCTACCCAACATCTCTAGACATTGGTTACAATGAGCACGAGGATTGTAACCACCTCGTCTGTACTTATCATCACAGGTCATTTCAACAAACATAGATTAATGTCAAGTTTTAGTTAAAACACTCGTAGCTTTCTTGAAAATTACTTCCATAGTAGAAAATTCCTCGCGTTTAGTCAGGAAAAAGATTTAGTGTGTATAATGCACATCCTAAACACCTCAGTTAATGAAGTAACACTATCTCATCAGTAGATTTTCCATCTTTATCCATAACTTTGCATCTAACTTCAGTATTGCTAACACGAAGGTCACGAAATACATGAGCATTGGTTCGAAGACGTCTATATCCGTATATTAGTAACCTACGAATATCCTCTATTTTCAAAGACCACTTTTCACACCTAACAATTCACACAGAACTAACTATTAAGAAGTACCCTTCTTCTTTAATTGTCAAACAGACAAGTGATGCAATCTAGCGAAAATCAAGAAAGTTTTCCAAATCCATAGAGAGATTTTATCAAACACTAACCCATCATAGCTGACTAGAATTCTATTGACGGATTGTTCTTCAGTACAAAATTCAGATAGATATTACTTCATAGAATGGAGTTTTATTCTCTGAGCTGGTAGACTTTTATCTGAAGTTTATGCTGATGATATCATTCAGAAGAATGATGAAAGCTCCATGATCAAACCATCCAACTCAAAGAATAAAACTTCATCAAAATCATCCACCTGAGCTACAAACCTTCTCCACCATCTCAAATGTAGTTTTTTTATCAGAAGGGGTTTGTGGAGATTTTTAAAAATTTCATAGATTGAAATCATGAGTCAATTGAAGCTAGACCACCATGGAAAACCTGGAAGCACTGGACGGCTGTTTCGTCCTAGTATGGGACTCCTCAGCAGTGCGCATCCACGATCCCGCACTCCGTGGGATTTTTTTTATAATGGAAGAAAGTTTTCGATATTATCTCCATTTATACCATCAAAGAAGAATAAAATCAATATCAGCAAGGGTAATTTGCTTATCTTCAATTTCATTCACTTAATTAAGCCTTACAGTTGTAGCTTGTAGTAAAACTTGGATCGATTTTTACAAACCTATTTGATCAATAGAACAGTACTCAATAAAAAAAGAAAGAAACTGAAGTGATATAATGTCATAAATTGTAAGTAAGTACGTTGCGTAATAGTTCAATGACCAGTGAAAATGGTCCATTTGATAAGCAAAGATGGATAGTGGTTAATAGTGGAATCGAGTTTGATGCACATTTCGTCCTATTTAGGACTGATCAACTGGATGTACTTACATTTCAGAATTGATATTCATTCCGGAACTCGAATCCAGTACCATTCGCTCCAAACATTATCGTATGATCAAGTTAGCTGCTGAGTTATGATAGCCAATTGCTTGTGTAATGGGATAAAGTTTTTAATTTATTCATAGGACAAAACGCATATCGTGGATTCCACTACTAACCATTATCTATCTCTGCTTATACTGAATATTCCACACATAGTATAGCGTCAAGTACAAAAACACAAACGGAACTTATAGATCCAGTGGTTTTTGGATTAGTCATATTGGGGGTTAGATGGTGGTTGGAGGTAGTCGACAGGAAACATTGGACTCGGGTTTCGTGCTACTTGGCACTCATCACCAAGGTGTAGCTGTAATCATGAGGGAACTAGTACTCCCTGGCGGATTTGATCCCGTGTCACAGTCAGATACGTTACCACTGAGCTATCCGGACCGCGACTGACCTCCTGCAGGACTGAGATGTAGTTACAATTGATTGATCACTGGGTGGTGATCAATGTCATGCGTGTCAAGTCCTTAGTTAGTACAGATCGAATGATATCGATCATGGCCGGGTCCGTCAGGGAGAACCAGCTCCCTCGATACTACAGCTACACCTTGCTGACGAGTACCAAATAACACGAAACCCGGGTCCAGGGTTTCCTGTTAACTACCTCCAACCACCATCTAATCTCAATATATAGTGCACGCAGTGTCGAGTCACCTAGACTGGTGGCCACTTTGCAACATCGTCGATAGCATTCGATCTGCGCTAAACAAGGACTTGACACGCATGACATTGATCACCACCCAGTGATCAATCAATTGGGATTAGTCATATATATATATGCCAACCAATAAAATCAATTGACCACAGTGAAATACCGTGAATTACAAGATATATGAAATCTATAAATTATATGGTGCAATTATTCATCAGTGCTCATCAAGGACTCCATTTGGAGATATATACACAGTTAGTTTTCGGATTGTTTACATGTTTTAGATTGTTTATTACACTCATGATAAGTATATTAATCTGTATTTTGCTTAACCATTATGTTTACAGACAGGTATGACGGACTCCGACTATCTCGCTATATTTTACCGTCTGATTATGCCTATCGCTACAGAGGTAAATGATCAACAATATGAGTATTATTTTTGGTAAATTTTAATGTGAATAAGTGTGTGTATATGTGTGTAAGCTTAAATAATTGTGAAGGCGTAGTTGGAGATCTGGTTAGCGCGGATCGGCAAAGCAAGAACAGCATATTTACAACTGAACAACATCTGGAACTGAAAACAATTGTCTATCAACACCAAAGTCAGAATTTTCAATGCAAATATCAAGACAGTTCTGCTGTATGGGGCAGAAACCTGAAGAACTACGAAAGCCATCATCCAGAAGATACAGGTGTTTATTAACAGTTGTCTACACAAAATACTTCGGATCCGTTGGCCGGACACTATTAGCAACAACCAACTGTGGGAAAGAACAAACCAGATTCCAGTGGAGGAAGAAATCAGGAAGAGGCGCTGGAAGTGGATAGGACACACATTGAGGAAAGCACCCAACTGCGTCACAAGACAAGCCCTCACATGGGGTCTTCAAGGCGAAAGGAGGAGAGGAAGACCAAAGAACACATTACGCCGGGAAATGGAGATAGACATGAGAAGAATGAACAATAATTGGATAGAACTAGGAAGGAGGGTCGAGGATAGAGTGGGTTGGAGAATGCTGGTCTGTGGCTTATGCTCCAGTGGGAGTAACAGGCGTAAGTAAGCAAGTAATTAAGTTGGAGATCTAGTTGCATTGTGTCCACTTGTCTAAGTCATTATTTTCGGATATCAAGTAGGTTGAGGCGATAAACAGACAATTTAGGTATCGGTTTTTTTGTTAGATGTCGTTCATCTACAAAGAACTACCTGGAATTTTGAGAGGATTGATGATATTCAGGCAGAAAACAGAACCTATGTGATTCATTGCAACGGACCTATTTTGGCCCTTATTGACAGACTAACTCCAACCAGATAATGCAAAGCATAGTTCATGCAATGTAAAACCACTTATACTACTAGTAACATTCCATTTTGAAGGCATAATTCTATAAGCATTAAAAACTAAACAAACAGAGCTAATCAATGTTGATGTCTCAGACTTATACATGGTTCGTTATAGCCCTAAATACCTTCGTTTTACCGTCACAACTTTGTGACAAGACAAGAAACCCACTAAGGGAATAACTTTACAATTACTTCTTACCAGAAACTGTAAAACAAACTGAAATGTAGATCAAGACTTTTCTATCAATTTACTTCAACCACCTAGCATAATAAATAAGAACTTTCGTTTAAATTTGTTCAAATAGTTTCACAGTATTTGGGCGCTGAATTGATATGAAACATTAAACAGAAAGAATGTTGTATTTTTGAAAATCACAGAGAATGAATTTGAAGTAAATCCAACATTTCGCCTGACAATCTAGTCCAAACTTTTTCAAGGAAAAGTTATTTCTTTGATAAAGCTTGGATCAGATTGACAGGCGAAATGTTGGATTGAATTCACGTTCTTTCACCAAGCATAGTTTCCAGTTTTTTCGATTGAACATGACTGATTTTTTATGACACTGGCTTCAAACCTATTACGATCACTCTAAAGGTGAACTGAATTAAAGATAATTTATATGTGCCTGGTTTGAAAATAGTTGCTTGGTTTACTTTTAGAGCATTATCCCCTTGAAATATTTATCATAAACATTGATGCTACTTTAAATATAATAAGTAGGTCAAGTTGTATGAAAAAATAAATGAGAGTTATGACGGTAGTTGGAGGTAGTTAACAGGAAACCCTGGACCTGGCATTCGTCAGCAAGGTATATCTTAAAGGAACTGACGCTCCCTGAGGAATTCGATCCCGTATCACCCAGCTTCACATTGCGTACACATAATGTCGAGTAATTTTCTTTTTTTAATTTTAAAAATTACAGTTTAATCCTCAACTGATACTGATTTCTTGTGGGTTCGACGCAGCCATTGGTTGTCCAGAGGTAAGTGCTAACTTAATGAATAACACATTGAGTTACAATGCTAACATGTTTGTTTCTAGTTTTCCCTTAGTTATTGACTAACTGTGTGTTGAAATCAAAATAATGTTCACTCAGATTCCAAAATAAGACATCCAAATCTTACGGTTTACATTAAGATCATTAAGTTAAAATCCAATGATTCTTATTTCTAACTTTAGTTGATATTCATCATAGTGTAAAAATATCATTGGTGTATAAGTGCTCAGTTCCTGGAATAAAGCATACCCATCAGGATCAATTTTAATTAGTTTTAACGCAATCCAAGTAACGACATTGGCTCATCCATCTGAGAAATCCGAGCCTAAACAAAATTCACTGTAAAAAAATAATTATGGAGAATATTATACGTGAAAACTGAATTCTATCTAAGGTTAACTAAATTACAGACGGAGGGTTTATCTCATCGGCTCTGCATTTTGATGAGGTAAGGTCAGGTGAATGACCACACTAGGATTCTGTTTGCGTGTAACGGAGACACAGCATACATCAAACGTATGAAATTTTTGGGTTTTAGCTAAGTAGGTCTGCTGGCTGATTTGACATAGGGTGCGCAGGTCGAAGGAGTGAGGTTTCAGTAGACCTCGGACAGTGTTTAGTGCACTGGAATTGTTGGCCATGGTGACGCTTGAGGCGAAAGTCAAAATAGGAAGTTTAGAGCTGAAAGTCGAGGTAGGAGTAATAATAAGAATTGAAGACGCAGATTGATGATAAATCCAGTGATCTTGTGTGCTGTTAGAGGTATGAGGACATTTATCACTACCAGGTTGCCCACACCGTGAAGGTACCTGCGAAGGAAATTGGGTTAAAGTTAGACTAAGTGACATGAGAGCGTTAGGGCAGTGCCCAAATAATAAGTGCTTGAGGTTGGTCACACACGAAATATTATGAGTAATTTTCGTGTCAGCAACGTACATATTAGGACCTTACACTTCCTCACTAAATCCCACTTTTCAATCCTAACAACTGTTCCGTTTACGGTAACCGACTTTTGTATGTCCTACTACTCTAAGTTGGTTGTTGGCTGTGGAAATGTCTTCGCCGATATACATAGCTTAGACTAATTTGTGCGACAGAGACACAGTCGAAACAACCATCAAGCTGTTAAAGATTTTACCACCCAGCTAAAACTTAAAGGCTTGCCCTATGATAGTAAATGCCATGCAAAGATTAAAAATATACATATAATCACAGGTGTCGCCATTAAAAATGATTGGATATGGCGTGAGTACAGATAGAGTGAGTGATACTGAAATTAGATTGAGGAGTTTGTGTAGAAATGGTTATTGGATCAATGAGACTACAAGCCGTGTGTGTTTACCGATGTAGTTTGAACGTATGTTACAGATAATTACTCATTACACGCTCCTATGTACAATTCTGACAGTTGCAAGTGTAGTTTACATCAGCAGCAGCAACAACAAAACAAGCGTAGTCATATGATTGATTGAAGCGACAGTTGCATGGTTGACGCGCTTAATATTTTGAAAAACTTTTCTGGTTGGCGTTTTTTAGTGAGTTAGTTTTCTACTGGATGGGATTGCTAACCCCATGCCAAACCCTGCTCCTTTATCCGGGTATGGGACCGACGGTGGACCAAGACAGGCTCCAGGTGGATTTTTGAAATATTTTCATTTGAGTAATTGTTATTAGTAAGAGTTGTGTGAATTGCGGCAAATTAGTGATTAAGGTAATGGTATTTGGAATGATTTAGTAGTGTATATATATATAGTGAGTGGTGTATGTGTGTGTGCGTGTGCGTGGCAATTACACGTAGATGGTTCAGTGGTGTAGGGATGCGATACCCACTTCTAGTGCTAAATGGTCGTGTATTCAATTCCCAGCTGGACCATTATTATTCTCCTTACGTGACTGAATTTCGTTTGATCAGCCTTCATTTCATACGTATATGTTCATTCCTGTACAGATTGTCTAGATAAAACCAATCAAACTCATAACCATTGCATAAGTGAGTAAATATCAACTTGACGATGTAATTATTACATTCATCAGTTGATGAGTCAGTCACAAATGGCATGAAACACATGTCCTGCATTCCACTGCTATTCATATTCCATCTACTCAGCAGTAACATTAAACCACTTCATACATTTATACTTCATGTGAAGCTTTTTGTTTGTTACATTATTCAGTAGTATTAGATGTATGGAAGCGTCCAAGTCACTTAATTGAGATATGCGCAAAATCGAAGTTGTTCACAAATCACAACGATTTGTCTCTAAAATAGCCTTCGTCATCTTGTGAGGTGTCTACGGTGTTTAACGCGTCCATTCGTATGAAATGATGAAAAGGGCTTCGATAGTACAACTACACAGCTGATAGTTGCGTCTAAACTTGGCAACAGTTTACTAACTAGCAAAATCCCAAACAAGAGCAATTAATTGTAGAAAATGTTACGTTTAAATTAAACAAATACACAAAACTGTGGATAACTGTTACAGGGATTGAGGTCAGGTAATTATAATGATAAATAATATAATACAGTGTTATTATAAGTATATGTAAATATTTGAGAAAATATTACACGACCAACTTACATTAGAACATCAATGTAGAAATTGCTAAGAATACAACAGTTTACTGAATGTTAATAAGTAGTATAAAACAATACACAAAAGAGTCGAAATGAAGTGAATTTACGATAGTGAATGTAAAGCATACTGAACAGGTAAAATGGTACACAAAACCGATGGCCTTGACCTATCAGTCCAAATCAAGCTAACAGATGCGCTAATTTGAAATGTTTTTACGGACATCTTGTTGCTGAAAGTTATGATCTTCATGATATTCCATATATATTTCGATGGAACTGCAATCATTGAAAGATGACGGTTTTCCTATGGAATAGAACTATGAAGATGAATATGTTACTGGTTGGAGTGTTAACGTTAGGATAATCAGAGTGAGGAGTTAGGGTTTAGGAGTTTTATGGCTAGTATCTACAACTAAGTAGTTTTGTGGTTATGAGTTAAGTTAGGAATTTTCAGGGTTAATAGCTGGCTGGTGTTAAAATGGTTTTAGTGTTGGGATGATGGGTCTAGGAGTTTTTGGGTTGCCAAGCCTCCAGTTTTGGGGAAATTTTAAGGATTTCTATGGAGATTTCAGGATTTTCACTCAGTCATATAAAAATCCGTGGTTCTTTTCCCACAGAGTACGGGAAATATATCGTGAAAACCCGAAATTTCCCCAAAATATTTCTGAATATTACACGACAAACTTGTGTTGCTAGGACTACAATACTTTACTGAATCTTAATAAGTAGTATAAAACAATACACAAAAGAGTCGAAATGAAGTGAATCCGCGATAGTGAATGTAAAAGTGACTTTAACAAGTATTGTATGCTTCATTCTTTGAAAGTACTATCATTTGATCATTCACTGAATTCCTCAATAGTCTAACCCATCGAAATGCTATTACTTTAAGTGTTTTTGTTGATTGTTGAAGTTGATATTTTTGAAATTCTCCATTGTTCTTAATTTGACGATCTTCGTATTCCCTGAAGCCCTGGACAGTGGTAATTTGTAGTAGCCAATAGCTCACATCCCTTTTCAATGATGAATGTTTCCGATTATATTCAGTGGTACTACTATCTATTGGAATTCTAATTGATTCATTTCTTAGTTTTTCAAAGAATAAATAAGATAGAAGTCAAATAAAGAACTATGATATTTTGTTTGACTTTACTAATATTTAACATCACAATAATTTGTTAACCGTTTATAATGTTTCTGTGATGTATGTTACTGATATCGGCAGATCTAAGTAGCATACATCATCAATTGAAAGTGAAATGTTTGATTGGAGAAGATTAAGATGATCAAAGAAAATAGAACGAGAATGGAGAATGAATGATGTGGATACAAAAGTAAAATGAAGTCTGAAGCGACTGATTGACATTTTGCATTTGGCTTTACTCACTTGAGTTGTCGTTCACTACAATGGTTTTATAATTATTTCTTTTCAAGTAAATGTATAATAGAGAAGTTTATCGAAATATTTGCACAGTTCAAAAACAGGTGACCCAAAATGTTTGAATAGACGGTGGTATCGTTTCAACAAGCTACCAAATCCTGATTTGAAAGATTTAAAAACTCCTTAGTCTTTAGTTTTGGTATCATTATAGAGATTTGTAGCTCACTTGGATGATCTTAATTAAGTCCTATCCTCTAAGCTGGATGGTTTGGTCGTGGAGCATTCATCGTTCTTCTGAACGACATCATCAACACAAACTTCAGGTAGACTTCTACTTGAAGTTCGTCCTATTCGGGACTCGTCGGCTGGACGTACCTGCATTTCGGAGTTGATGTCCACTCTGGGACTCGAACTCAGTACCGTTCGATTCAAACGCCATCATATAATCCACGTGTTAGCGACTCAGTCCTGATAGCCAACTGCTTATGCAATGGGGTGAAGTTTAAATTCACTTGGTATTTTTATTTACTTGAATGTTCTGATTGTTGTTTACGACTGCAATTGATCAGCCTCATGTAGGCATATGTGCATTCCGTGCGGATTGCCTCGATAGAGCCTTAAGTTCAGCCTTACATCCGACTGACGAGTCCTAGATAGGACGAAACGCGCGTCCTGGATTCCACTGCTAACCACTATCTATCTTTGCCTAAAAATAAGCATAATTATTATAAACCGTTCTTTTTCGTCTTTTTTTAATCTAATTACAGGGTAGAATGTGGTTAACTCCAATGGTATTTAGTCATTTTGTACACAAATTAAAATCTTTAGCTGGAGGCAAAGTTGTTGTCGTTCTTGAAGTACGTTATTGATATATTTTCTTCTTTTTTTTCAACTAACAAGTGAACACACAATGACTTGATTATGTTAATGACGTTTTGTTCTTTGAACTGCATCGAAATCATCTATCAGAGCTATAAATCTTCTCCACCATTTCAATACTTGACTAGATTCTCTCGTGTCACTACTGACATTCATGAATACTTATTTCTTTCATCAGTAAATATTCCAATATCAATTAAGTTATTCATTAATTAAGTTGATTATTTTATAAGTAAATTAATTATTGATTGACATTGGCTCTTCTGATGACTTCTTTGAACATATTATGGTGTGTACTACTGATATCGACAGATATAAGTAGTATGTATCATGAATCGATAGTGAAATATCTAATGGTAGAGAAGGTTAACAAGATCAAAGAGAAGAGAACGAGAATAAAGAATGATTAATGTGCAGATGAAAGAACAATGATGTCTGATACGATTGATTGACATATTGCAAATAAAGTATTTACTGTATAGTTCTCAGATTTTACTAAGACCTGTAATTTTCTGTTCGAATATATTCGGTTATTCCCCACTTGTGTTCTCGTCCACTACAACAGTGTTGAATATTGTTACAAAGCACTGATTTCTAACTGCGTTTTAAATGTATATATGTTTCTAAGCTCTTGTGTGTATATATAAGAGAATAAGTGATACCCCCCTTCTGATTGTCGAAATCGAAGTAGTTACATGTAGGACTCAAACCTAATCGCTAAGACATCATTGTTGATCACTAATTTCCATCAAGAAATATATTAATTTCTTGAAACACTTTAACTTCTACTAACGAATGTTTCAATCATAATCTAATAAAACCAGTCAATTTGCGTTTAGCACATAACCGATACGCAGTTGTCTTCTTCTGACCAAGTAGTTGATCTGTTGATCTCCAAGTTGGCCGTCTGCTGAATCTTTCGGTCAGTTCAACAACGCTCTAAAGAACGTTTCCTGGTATTGGCAGTAGTATGATGTCTGCATAAATCTCACACTTACTGAAATTTCTTTCTTCGGTGTCTTGACGAGGTATCCTACTTTCCAGTCTGTCGTCATTTGTTCCCTCTCCCAAATCTTCCTGAATGGGATGTGAAGCGTGTCTATAGTTGCTTCTGTGTCTAACTTTAGTGCTTCAGCTGGTATGTTGTCTGGTCCTATCGCTTTCCCACCCTTGATCTGTTTTATGACCATGTTGATTTCTTCAATTATTGGCAAGGTAGCATCTATAGAAAAGCCTGTGTGTGCTGCTTCGATGTAAGGTTGGTTTGGTGGGATTGGTTTATTTAAGAGTCCTTCAAATACTTCTACTCACGTACTTATAGTTATCAACTCAAATGCTCATTTTCACTCGTTTGTTTACTTATATGTGTTCGGCCTACGCTTCAGGTTTCGCTGCTCCTGTTCTTCTATTGTTGATTGCTTTCTTCTTCCTCTCGTTGACTGAATCCTACCCAGTGTATTGATAGAGATCTATTCTTTATAACGGTGCTTCTTTCGGCCCAGCACCTAATTGTATTTTGAAATTGTTGCCTCTTCAATCCCTTCCCAGTTGCTCTTCATAGTACTTTCCTCTCCTTTGAATTGGCTGTGTAAGGATTGGAACCTGTTGCTGAGAACTATCTTGAATTCGTTGAGTTTGTCAGTATGTCAAAGGTATACTGTATTAAACTCTTATAATGTCGTTTCTCCAGTTGTCCAGTGCTTCTTGAGCTTCAGTTTCCTCATGGCCACAACCTGGTAGTGACCTTAAACTAAGTCCGCTTCTCTCTTTGCTTATACATCTTCTAGGGACGTTCTGATCCTTTTAATGATGCAGATATTGTCGGCTTGGTATTATGTAATGTGATCCAATGAAACTCATGTAGCTTTGTGTATGTGTTTGTAGAGGAATATGATTGTTTGTTTATTAGGAATATATGTAACAGATATATCGTTATCCAAACAAGTATAGTTTGACTTCATTTCAAATACTTAGAAGCTATGTTTCAACTTTTTTTGGAGGGGAGGAGAAGATTTATCATAAGCGAACATAAATATCAGCCAATTCCTTCAGAAATGATTAAATGACGAACTAGTTATTTATAAAAGTTATTTTATTGTATTTGGTTGTTCATTTGATTGTTTAATAATTTATGTCAATTATTTTAGCTACTTAATAAATATAAGTAGATTAAATAGTAAACATTAATTTCTATGACGTAACATTCCAATATGTACCATAATTTGAATTCTATTGTGTATATCACCAAAATATGATGAATTAAAACGTTGATATCTTCACTATTTTTATTTATTTATAGGGTGGTTATTTCGTAGATAGTTTGGCTGAAGGAATTGTTCATGTTTTAAAAGCATTACTTGGTGATCCATTATCACCTATACGATTAATCCAACCACCATGTTCAAGGTTACAATGATTTATTCTTAATGTTTACAATGATAACAAATTGATTAATTGTTAAAATTTACTGAAATGTATAAGAGAATCTAATTGATTATTTAAGTATTCACCTGATTTTTAAACTTTATTTGAATATATTCTATACAACAGAATTAAGAATGGAAATCCAACACCCATGTTTCGTCCTAGTTGGGACTCATCAGCTGGATGTACCTGCATCTTAGATTTGATGATCACTCTAGGACATGAACCTAGTACCATTCGCTTGAAACGCCATCGCGTTATCCATTTAGCTATTGATTGCTGATAGCAACTTCTGAAAGTGGCAGATACTTAAATCTTTCCATTGATGAAGTTACTACTCATAATATATTAATAATATATTCTAATCTAGTGTAAATTATTCGGAACCTAAATCATAATTGTACATATTTGAATATGGAACAATTCAAATTCCTTATTGTCTTGAAAGAACCTGGTAGCTAAGACATTTGTGAGACATTTTTCTTAATGAAATCCATTCATTTTCAAATAATCAGAAGACTATTACTCTTGGATTTGTTAAAGTTTACAGAGAAGACTTTTGACCAGTGGAGTTCGATCGAGTCTGTTGTGAGATAGTAACTCATTGAAGAAAATGGTGAACGGTGGTGCAATTTCGTGAATTGGTTGAAGTTAGACATTAAAACCGTTGGATGCTGGCAATCTCTGTGGTCTAGAGGTTAAGACAAGGCGAGACATATAGGTCCTGAGTTCGACTCCCTCGGGCGGGATTGTGGATGCACACTGCTGCGGTGTCCCATACTAGGATGGAACGGTTTTCCAATGCTCCCAGGTTTCTGCGGTGACCTGGCTTCAATTGACTCATGAATTCAACTATTTGATCGTATTTCATATAAATTATCAATTCTGATTCAATACTCATCATGGTTGAAAATGTTTTAGTGTGTTCCAATGTAGAAGACGATGTTTCATCATTTCATGTAATTTTTGTCTGTTGGAATTGTAAATAACCCACAATATACATACACTACTGAATGTCAGTATTTTTAGTAATTCTCATTTGTCTAATTTTATAAATGGTTAGACAGAGCCCAAGAAGCGTGGCAGACACTTCCTTCAATGTAACAGTCAATACTACGGACCCCAGGCCTCTTGGAGCATCAATTGTCTCAAGATTGTAGATTTGATTGTTGATAGGTGTCAGCCTAAATAAAATCCGCGTTCAGCGTCTATTACTAATTCCTTCTAATATTGTGTTACCGATATCAAATCATATAAACTAGTTACCGAGATGTAATTTGATCGATACAGTTCGGCTACGACTACAATCAAGATCAAACATGACAATGTTTAAGACTCAATCTACAAGACCTGAAAGCCCATCTTATGCTTCTGAAGGAAGACATAAACTTAGATTACTCCATATTGGCTAAATTTAGTCCCTAGAACCATCAACTATCAACAGTGTTGTATAATATGATATTTCGTTTATTTACTCCCCTTATTTTTCTATTTAGTGTTAAAGAGACTATTGAATCATGTATAACTGTACTAAGTCCATATTGGAAAAGTCTTCTGAATAGTTCTCAACCTGTACAAATTGAGAGTTCGGAACATTTAACAACAATGACGTGGTAAGTATGAATTTTAGAATGTTCGTTCTTTAATTTATTTTATTCAAAATATTATAGTACTATTTTAAAATCAGTAGTCACTCAGAAATAAGTGATTTTTTTTATTGTAGATGGATTGATGCGACTATCATTGATGGACGACTTTTGAGCAAAGTTAGACTGACTTTGAGAGTGTCCACCTAATAACTAAAACCAAATAAGGGTTATACACTTGTGTGAGGAATTAGAGTTATGATTTACAGTTGATGGTTAGGGGTTAGGAATTAGATTTGAAGGTTGTCCGCTTGTGGACAACTGCGGACACACATTCGACTGGAAAAATGTGGAAATTTTGGATAGAGGTAATTCCAAAAATACCAGAGAATTTTTAGAAGCTTGACACTCAGCTCAATCAAAAATAAACAGGCACATTGAAATTGATCAACTAATCAGGAAAATTATGCACAAACTTAGGAACAAAAATTCAAACAAATGGGAGATATAACTAAAACAAAGAAGGAAACAATGATAGGTTTAGAGGTCAACAAGAACCAATTAACATCGAGGTGTACAGGACAAGCTGTGAACCATGTATGGAGAAGTCCGAACACTTAACTTATACTTGAAGTTTTTGCTGACGATGTCGTTCAGAATAACGATTAAACCATCCAGCTCAGGGAACAAAACTCCATCAAAATCATCCACCTGAAGTACAAATCTTCTCTACCATCACAGGACGTCATTTGATAACGGTAATAAAATCTTCAATACCTTAGTCTTCTCTGACGATTCCGTTAATGATTTGGTCAGGTAGAGGGTAAATATAACTTTAAAATATGAGTATTGTTGGATAATATAAACTGTTCTATTACAAAGAAATGTCATTTAAATGGTTACATATACATAAACTACTGATTATATATAAGTAGTGTTATGCGAAAATCGAAAACTAAAAGACGAATATCTGCTAAGATCAAAATATTTTTTCATCATACTATTCCTTGAAAACAATCTGCTAACTTGTCAAATATTCTTTAGTTGAAATTCAATTAAAGTATATTAAGTTTTTGATTGAGATCATGAATCGATTGATGTTAGACCACCTTTCAAAACCTGGAAGCATTGGACGGCCGTTTCGTCCTATAGTGGGACTCCTCAGCAGTGCGCATCCATGATCCCGCCCACGGGATTCGGACCCAGGGCCTCCGGTCTCGCACGCGAACGTCTAACCTACTGAACCACTGAGCTGGCATCCAATGGTGATAGTGTCTAACACCAACCAATCCACGAAATTGCGCGATCTTCCATTGTACTGAGGTAGATACCTGTTTCTACCCGACATGGACGAAACGGCCGTCCAGTGCTTCCAGGTTTCCAAAGGTGGTCTAACATCAATCGGTTCATGATCTCAATCAAAAACTTAATAATCTCCACAAGCCCTATACTAGTAAAGTATATTAATTGGTTGGAAACAGTAAACATAATACTTTGAACCAAGATGTTATGTTAGTCGTTAGCTTCCAAGAAGATTTTATGAAGGAACTGATACTCCCTTGAGAATTCTTATTCGAATCATACGGTGTCACAGTCTTTGACATCACAAATGAACTGTTTAGAACATGATTAATTGTTATAACTTGTGAATTCGTGCCCCTTATCAATGTATAACGTAATGATACCGCCAATTAGAAAACAGTGACTTATCAACAGGATCAATGACGCATAAATCCATACGAGTAGTCGAGAGTTGTCTTTCTGTATAATCCTACCTGTTAAGTCCAGAACACCAATCTCAGCCTATGAGTTATGAATCATTTATTTCAAACCTACTGGGTTTATATACTAACCAGACAAACCAAATCGTACCATAAAATAGATAATAACATTTTTACGGGATCAAGTCAAAAGTGGCTATGAATGTGGTAGACTGTAATGAATAGACTGGGTATAACTCAAGAATGTGAAATCGTATCATAATAGTCTATAGGTCAAATGAGAGCTTATAATAAGAGGGACATGAATGTACTCAGTCGCTAAGTGGGTAACATGATGGTGTTTGAAGCGAACGGTACTGGGTTCGAGTTCAAGAGTGAACATTAACTTTGAGATACAGATATATCCAGCTGATGAGTCCTAAATAGGACGAGACGCGCGTCAAACTGGATTGCAATGCTAGCCACTATCCATTTTTGCTTATTAAATATTCTCTTTGATAATATTTAGGGCAAGACATATACACTTAATCATTCGTGTAATATATATGTATAATATTGAGATGATGGGGAAGATTTGTAGCTCAACTTGATGATTTTGATGGAGTTTTGTTCTTTGAGCTGGATGGTTGATCCCACTATTGATATTATACTATGATAAAGCTATCTATAATTTAACTATTCGTAACAGCCTTCTGTGGGAGATGACGAACCAACTTTCATCATTAAACTACATCACGAATCAAGCGCTAACTTGGAATCTTGAATGGAAACAGAAATGAGGAAGATCAAAGAACACACTTCACCGATAATCGGAAGCAGACATGGGAAAGATTTTCCAGGACACCTTTCAACTATATATACATATATTTCATCAATAAATTCACTTTATCTCTCTCTCTCTTTCTCGAACATATAGGCCAATAGTAAAGGTGATAACGTGGCCTGAAACTAATCCTCAATTACCCAGAGTACTAACGAATCATATTCAACACTTAATAAATAATCACTTTCCAGCACCATTAACAATATCGAATGAAATGATTCAAAAGATGACTTTGATTTTATTGTTAACATCACAGGCATCAGAGTTATATGATTTACAATATGGGTCAACTAATGTTAATGAAAGAAGAAGCGGAAGAAGAAAACAACGGAAAATTACGCTAGAAAGGTTAGTGTGTACAAAATGTACTATATTTCTGTTATTAACTATCTAGTAATTTCAAGTTCAGCAAATCATCGTGAGTCAACGGTTGGTGGTAGTTCAGTATTAGGAATTGGTTTGGGTTGAAAATGTAAGTTGTTGTATGCTAACTTAGTGCTTGCCACATGACCTGAAAGTCCTGAGTTCAATCCATAACTTGATCATGAATATGAGCTGATGAGAAATCCTATAATCAGACGAAACAGCTCTTTAATGCTTTCTGACCTTCAATGATCGTTTAACCTAGACCAGTTTGTGAAGTTAACCATAAATTGAATAATCTCCATAAGACTCCTATACTAACACAAAAAACACACTAGACTTGTGTGTTCTATTCTTAGTCCCTACTGATTGTTATCCAGAGAGCTATAATGTGATCACCAGTTTAAGCAAACCATTTAGAACTGAATTCTAGAGCATTAGGCCCCACAGCGAGTATATTACTTTCAGAAAAGTAAGTTACTTTTTGACAGTCATTAGTAATCTGTTGGAGTAAGGAAGATATTATGAACGATAGTGGATGATGGTTTGAGTAATATCATGGAATTTTATTACAAAAGGCTATGAATGGTATTAAGAGGCCTATTATAAGAAACTAAAACATAATAAATCCATTGAAAAACCGGATTTCGACTCAACGATTTGATGTATTCTAATCGATATCAGAAGGAGTTTTGTAGATATTATGGAAATTTTAATAGTTGAGATCATGAGTCCATTGAAGATAGGCCACCGTGGAAAACGTGGAAGCACTGGATAGCCATTTCGTCCTAGTATGAGACTCCTCAGCAATGCGCATCCACGATCCTACTGGCGGGAGGAGTCCCACAATAGAACGAAACGGCCATCCAGTGCTTCCAATTTTTCAATGGTCGTCTAACATCAATCCGTCTATGATCTCAATCCAAAAAACTTAATAATCTTCACAAGCCTATACTGAACATTTAATGTTAGAATTATCATAACTCTTTACATATACTTACTTGTATGCTTCATGAATCATTTTGGGTTCATTTATTTTAGCTTAATGTATAAATTAAATGATCAATTTCATATACATCTATACAATCAATATGATGTACCTATCAAACTTTATTCCAATTCAGTAAGTAACAATTACATAAGTAGTATATCTTTTTATGTATAATAATTTTGATTTTATATCTATGATTGTTATGTAATGAATGAGAATACAAGTGGGGAGACAATCGAATGTCATTGAATACAGAATCTCTTAGTCAAATCTAAGAACTAGACAGTCAATACTTCATTTGCAATATGTCGTCTCAAACTTTATTGTTCTTTCATTTCCTCATCAATTATTCTCTGTTCTCGTTCTCTTTTCATCAATATGCTTAACCTCCTACCGATAGACATTTCATTTTCGATTGATGTTACATACTACTTATATCTGTCGATTTCAGTAGTATATTACCACAAAAGTAAGAGTGGATTTTCTGAAGAGTTTTGAATCTTAGGTAAGTTTTTGTCAAGAACTAAATTTACAAATGAGAACTACCACACTTCAGCTGAACTAAATGTTCTGCATTATGTTTATGACTTACTAAACAGTCGTAAACTAGTGTAGGGTTAGTGAAATATCACTAAGCCATAGTCAAATCATCCTGCAGTTGAGTCACTGAATATCGAACAAATCATCGATCCTTGTCAAGGTCAAGGAAAACAAACGCGCATCAGTTAATTGTACTCCATGAACCAGCCAATGCAGTGGGGGTCTTACTTTCGCTTGTATCTACTTTAACTAATATATTTCTGTAATAACGTCCTTTGTGTTATACGGTCTTCAAAGCATTCATAGTACTTTGATACATCGAATGGGTAATTCACGTTAGACGCTGATCGCGAGGTGTAACTTCGAAGTTACCTGTTTCGTTACACCGTCCCCATCTAACTCGAGTAGGCCTCCAGTCATTCAGCATAGATCATCCAACTTGGTGAACTACATTCGGATTAATTAAGATAGTTCATATTAGTCTGGTGAAGGAGAACGCAGGTGAAGACGATCGATTATATTTAGCACAAAAATTACAGAGTTGCTTTTTAAATCATACACCAATATTTCATTTGCAAAATGTTCATTAATTGTCTCACACTTCATTGTTCTTATATTTTCATCATACCAATTGCTTTCTGTTCCCATTCTTCCCTCCTCGATATTTCCAACCTTCTGTTGCCAGATATTCAATTCTTGACTAGCGTTATATACTACTTATATAAACATAGGTACCACACACCATATTAACACCCCTTTAATAATAATTCATATGGTAGTTGAATTTATGAGTCAATTGAAGCTAGACCACCATGGAAAACCTGGAAGCATTGGACGGCTGTTTCGTCCTAATACTTCATTTGTTGACATATTGTAATGAGAATCATCATCATCATCATCATCATCATCATCATCATCATCATCATCATCATCATCATCATCATCATCATCATCATCATCATCATCATCATCATCATCATCATCATCATCATCATCATCATCATCATCATCATCATCATCATCATCATCATCATCATCATCATCATCATCATCATCATCATCATCATCATCATCATCATCATCATCATCATCATCATCATCATCATCATCATCATCATCATCATCATCATCATCATCATCATCATCATCATCATCATCATCATCATCATCATCATCATCATCATCATCATCATCATCATCATCATCATCATCATCATCATCATCATCATCATCATCATCATCATCATCATCATCATCATCATCATCATCATCATCATCATCATCATCATCATCATCATCATCATCATCATCATCATCATCATCATCATCATCATCATCATCATCATCATCATCATCATCATCATCATCATCATCATCATCATCATCATCATCATCATCATCATCATCATCATCATCATCATCATCATCATCATCATCATCATCATCATCATCATCATCATCATCATCATCATCATCATCATCATCATCATCATCATCATCATCATCATCATCATCATCATCATCATCATCATCATCATCATCATCATCATCATCATCATCATCATCATCATCATCATCATCATCATCATCATCATCATCATCATCATCAGCATCATCATCATCATCATCATCATCATCATCATCATCATCATCATCATCATCATCATCATCATCATCATCATCATCATCATCATCATCATCATCATCATCATCATCATCATCATCATCATCATCATCATCATCATCATCATCATCATCATCATCATCATCATCATCATCATCATCATCATCATCATCATCATCATCATCATCATCATCATCATCATCATCATCATCATCATCATCATCATCATCATCATCATCATCATCATCATCATCATCATCATCATCATCATCATCATCATCATCATCATCATCATCATCATCATCATCATCATCATCATCATCATCATCATCATCATCATCATCATCATCATCATCATCATCATCATCATCATCATCATCATCATCATCATCATCATCATCATCATCATCATCATCATCATCATCATCATCATCATCATCATCATCATCATCATCATCATCATCATCATCATCATCATCATCATCATCATCATCATCATCATCATCATCATCATCATCATCATCATCATCATCATCATCATCATCATCATCATCATCATCATCATCATCATCATCATCATCATCATCATCATCATCATCATCATCATCATCATCATCATCATCATCATCATCATCATCATCATCATCATCATCATCATCATCATCATCATCATCATCATCATCATCATCATCATCATCATCATCATCATCATCATCATCATCATCATCATCATCATCATCATCATCATCATCATCATCATCATCATCATCATCATCATCATCATCATCATCATCATCATCATCATCATCATCATCATCATCATCATCATCATCATCATCATCATCATCATCATCATCATCATCATCATCATCATCATCATCATCATCATCATCAATCATCATCATCATCATCATCATCATCATCATCATCATCATCATCATCATCATCATCATCATCATCATCATCATCATCATCATCATCATCCATCATCATCATCATCATCATCATCATCATCATCATCATCACATCATCATCATCATCATCATCATCATCATCATCATCCATCATCATCATCATCATCATCATCATCATCATCATCATCATCATCATCATCATCATCATCATCATCATCATCATCATCATCATCATCATCATCATCATCATCATCATCATCATCATCATCATAAATT